GAATAACCTCTCATTAGGTCACAATGACTGGGGACAGGTGCCTAAACAGTCTTGTTTTATGTCAGCAACAGAACATTTTGTTGAGTATATAGATCACTAACGTAGATGATCTGTAAATAAAAATAATATATTTGTAATATCCCAATGAGTAGAAAAATGGATTTTCTGACGTTTCGTGACTTAGTGTAAGTCACTTCTTCAGAGAATAAATAACCAAAAATGATGATCTGTGTCGAATGACTGAGAGATTACTCAAGTTCGACAGGAATGGCATGATCAACCAGCCAACATAAAGTCACACCTAATGATTAGCACCTAAATTAGGTTACCCCTCCGTCACATCCATGTGCAACACAAGCGACGTTACTACTAAGATTTATTTCCAAAACGTCATGAGTTACATGTCACCCAGAATAATTTATTGTATAATAAACAGTTATTGGAACCTTATCGTTCATCATATAGGTTAACGACATACTCAATGACTTTACAGTTGGCTGTACCTTTCTATTTGCCAACGACCTTAATGTTGTATGTATATTCCATCCACGTCCCAGTTTAAATGTCAGCCGTATGATACTTTAAGATCTGGACTAACTCAAAAACCGATGTTATGCCTGGCTTCTCTCGTAACACGAAAAAATCTGAGTACATGTATTTCGACACGTCCAACCCACAAATAAGCACCCGGACAATTTGAAGTGAAATACTCCAAAAGTCTTTCATTCACCGAAACGGCTAAACCCCAAATGCTTAAAGTCAGCAGACTAATTGTGTTCGTCAACCGCAATTTTCACTCGAGGGAACCGAAAATAACACCATACAAGATACGTGTTTAGCCTCTACTGGAATACTTCCCAACTATATTAAGTTACATGCGTTCCATTGACCGGCTAGAAATTGGGAAGGTACAACTTCATTTTGCAAGATTTTTCACGTCCGACCTACCATATAAGCATAAATGAGAAGCATAGAAACCGCATCAGTTGCGGTAAAAACGGGTTAAACTTAACCTCACTTTAAAATTTCGAAATATCGCATAATAAAACTACGGCAAGTTATGAAACTCTAGCATTTGCCAAACGTAGTAGTTCCAACCTTCAAAATCAGGATTTTGTGCTGAAGATATCGAGAAAATCAGGTAAATGAAAGTTAACTTTGTTTGTCACACGTTATGCAAACCTCTGGAATAGGTTGCCAGTAGATATCCGGTCACGTCGAACGCTTGCTCAATTTAGATCTCCCCTGAACCGCTTTATGGATGGAATAATAAAAATAATCTTATACTGTGAAGTCGCTATGATATGACTATTTAGTTCATAAGATCTTACATAGAAGTCACATCATCGTCTACACTAACTCTTTTTACCATGACGGTAGGTAGTGTACTTTATGTGAACCCTAAAGAACACATTTGGGCTGGGGACAGAATAATGTATTCATCAAAGAAAGCAAAAGGTGGCCACACCTGTATTACTGAACCACGGGGTCCCAACCACATATTCCCATGTTCACGTCTTCCATGTGTTGAGCATTCAATGTAAGTGTTCTCAGTTAGCTTCGAGGATGGTGACTTTAGGAGTTGATGTTACCACGGACTCGCCAATTATGGGACTTACGTTTATCTTTCACTATTTGACGAAATCTTCCTCAAGTACTACAAGTATGTAATGAAGCTATTCTTTTATCAAATCCATTCGATCAGCTCCACCAAGAGCTTTTCTTGATCTACTGTCGCTCGCAACGCCGGACAACTGTGTACAACTGGTTGCGTGGTTAATAACACTAATCTTCATAGATCATCCATATAAATTCAGTGTTTGAAATTGACGAATCTGTATTTAGAAAAGTTATGACACCTATAGTGAAAACCTTAGTTCTTTTAAAAGCTATGAGGCTAAAATCCCCTATAATAACCAGAGCAAATAATACTTTAAGTAAATGGAACGTCCGGACATTTTAGAAGTCCGGGTAGACCAGTCAAATAGCTACAAAGACGGAAAGATAGGAATTGGCGGTGCTCGGAATCAGTAAAACACATTGGACCCATGCTGGACATTAAGGGATGGATTCGGAAGCGCTGCTGCTTTGCTCCGTTTACGAAGAAAACGCTGCACACAACCAGGAGGTTCCTCTAATGCTGTCTATAGAGGCGCGCAAACCACCCATAGGATGAAAATGTCATGGATACAGGATCATCAGAATATCATTCAAAAATAAGAGGGTAGAATCACTATAACATTGTCCAATGTTATAAAAACGACGACAGACTGCAATCAATAATTTCAAAGTGCTAAGGAAAGCACTTGGCCATCCTGATGTGAGACCTAAACGCCAAAGTGAGAGTGAATAACACGAGTGTAAATATCTCATAAGACGAGATGGACTGGGAAAAAGGATAGAGAATGAAGAGAGACTTGCAAATTTATATACGTTCAACAAAATGGTTATAGGTGACATAAACGCATGCACAAAGTTACATGGATACCCCTGGACCACCTCACGGAGAACCAGGTCGATCATATTTGCATCAGTAAAGTGTTCACTAACATCATGTAGCACATGTTCACCTATATTTATTATTTTCTTCTCCAAAACATTCGTCTGACATACTTGTTCCTTAAATTGTCTCACATTTTACTTCCTCTTTAATGGGTAGTATGCACAGTAATAGCTTTGCCATCAGTATTTGCACTGTAATTACAAGTACAAGTAATATGTCCAATCATGAGCAGTTTTCTTCTTCCAAACGTTCGTAGTTTTGTGAGATGGCGGGTGGAAACCGTTGGAAAACCTTTATTATAATCCTTTAAAAATAGCGAGGTGATGTGTCAGTACTAAGTGACGACGTTAAATTTTTAACTCATTGCTATACTTGTTTGACAGTAATTTTTCATTTCTATATGATGATTTTTCAATTTAATATATATGTTAATTTCGCGTGATGCTTATTCTAAATGTTGCATTTTTTTCATTGAATTAACGTGAACTACTTTCAGCGTGAAATGTGGTATGTGGTTTTGTTACATTTCGGAGAATTTTTTTATACATGTAACTTTTTCGTAATCAAAAATCAAATGGGTGTACAAATCAATATAGAATTGGGTGTATTCTCCACTACAGTTGTTGTCATGTCTTCGAGGTGAATAGACCTCCACTTGTAACAGTCTTGGTGTTCTCGCTTAACGTCTTACGGATTGTCGCTGGTCGGTGTTTCAAGAATAAATGGCCAATGATACAGTCCTATTTAGAACTCCTCTATCGCTCGAAATCATGGAGGAAGAAGTGAGCATTCAAGGCATGACAACTCCCAGATACGATGAGGTACACAAAACGGATGAAGCGGCGATATACATTAACAGTCACCTCAAGGTTATGATAACACAGTGCTGAAGTAACTGAAGTGACAGAATTATACCGATGTTGCTTTGATGAGAACGGCTGAAAGTACTTGATAGTAGAGACGTGTCGGCCCCCACATCTTCTAACTCCCGGAAGATGGGATAATACAAGGGATGCTAGAGCTACATCATCTGGGTTCTAACCTAATACTTCTGATTGGAGGCTTGAACACTCTACCACAAAGCCTCAGCAAGCAGAATATAACCCCTTCCGAGTGATTTAATGAGAGACTTGTTGCAGCCATTGGAAGTACAGAACTGACTGAATATGTGTATGACGCCATGAGATAGGAGAGGAATGGAAGATGCTAGCAAACACACTACCATAACATCGTCATTTAGCCCCTTGAGGCAACCCTCGGAAGATTGCACATCAAAGAGCAAACACCCAGATACGCTCTCATTTTTTATCATTATTAGTCGCCCTCATTTGGAGTGCTTTCCCATCCGAAGTGACTATCACCCCCTCAGTACATGGCTTTTAGAGGAGACTTGGCAAGCACTCGCCCATGCATTACCATCTCCCTCTTCGACCAGCTGTGTCTGATGCATGTCTTACAACTTGCCGCGGTTATCATTACCATACATCAGTGACCACTTTCTATTTCCCTTGTTATCATCTCCGTTTCCCCTCTCATCCTTCCGACTCCGTCTTCTTACACATTACCAATTAGTTATTCCTCCTTGGAGCCGTCGTCTTCTCTTCGCACTCAAATTATTACTTTACTATCTTTACATTGCAACAATCCAGTTTCTTACCTGGTAATGTGACAGCTGTTGGTATCAAGAAATCTTACTCTTCTGAGACAAGCGCACTCAATCAAATTGCAAGATGTAAATATCCACAATTGACTACCAAACCTGCTAGAATTAGTGTAATCAAAAGTCTAGACTATAATCAACTGAACATTACTAGATACCCAGAACGGTACTATGATAACAAGTAGCAAACCCTATGATATTAGTCTGTTGTATTAATATTATTGTTGTTATTCTGTTGCAGTCGAACTTCAATCGTCATCGTTAGCGTTTCTGGTATACTTGCTGATTTCAGATTCATCTGAGCACAGGCACTTTACTTTACTACCTTAACTGTGTTAGTAATATCAAAATTTATTTTTCTTTCGCAGTATTACAAAATACATTTCTGTTTTTTTTACTCAAACTTATTTAACCTTTACAATCACATTGCTATTTGTTACCGGTTCTTCTGTTTATAAATTACGCTTTCTGTTTGGATAATAAGTAGCCTCGTTTTGTCAATGTATTGTACTTATACTGGCTTTGATAATTGTTTTAACCATTCGAATGTAGCGTTTCCATAACTCCACTTTTGACTTTATCATAAATTAGTAAGCTCTCGTCGTTTCTTGTTAGCACATTAAATTCTGAATAAAAATTGTCTTGGTATTATTTCTATAATATTGATGATTGCCATATATAGCTTTGCTTATTAAATTTAAGTTTTCTCTATGTGCTCACTAAGTCATGGGCTAACTCTTTCTCTTTTCTTATATATTACAGCTGTTCTCACATCAAGTTGTGCACATTTCCTCGGCATACAAAGTACCTTACGAATAGACACAGACAAATAGGAACATGATGCCTCTGAATGTTTCTTTGATAAAATATGACAATCCATTACTTATTACTAAAAATTCAGATAAAAAATCTCCCGGGGTAGCTTAAAAATAGAAAGTTTTAGACGTTTTTTCAGGCACCTACGTTAAAGGGAACTCATCCAGTTACAGACTCTTCAAACAAACCTTGTGTTTCACCCAGAGGAAAGACATCTTTAATTGAAGCTAAAAGCAACCAACAAACAGAAGAAATATTGAATTCGATTCTTCCGCCTAGGTAGATCTAAAAATTATTCATCACATTGTAAAGGGAGTGGAGTGAAAACGGTCAGCTATGGATTCAACGTGCTTCAAGCACACCAGCAACACGACTTGACGTTGTTAATTTACAGGAAGAGCTCGATAGACGATTGCAACAGCGTCAAGCTAGAGAAACTGGAATATGCCCAGTCCGCAGAGAACTATACAATCAAGTAACAAAAACGCTCTTTAAGATGGAATATTTCTCAGGTATTTGACGAACTAATAAGACAAGTGACTATTAACTGCGCTGAACGGGGTTTGCTTCTCCTTCGCGTCCGTGACGAGATAAGAATGACAATAGCAGCATACCAGACACTTTATGAATCAAGCATAGCATTCGGCATGCGTAAAGCTCTTCAATCTGAACAAGGGAAAGCTGACATGGAACGGATGGTAAGATATGCCTATATTAAAACTTCTCTATATTTTTAAATAGTGTGTCTTGGTTAAAACAAGTTTGTATCGAAACAGTGGTTAACCACCTACATATTTATGGTTCAGTGAATTCAGTCAAATTAGCATCAGTTTATCAATTTCACGAATATCAGAGATTTGTTTACTGATTAATTAGGAAATAACAATCTCGTATTTCAATTATCTATTTGTATTCTTGGTTGTAGTTTTATAACAAAATAAGTATTTCATGAAACTACTCATTGAAGCATATTTTAAGCTTCAAACTAGGGTGTCTTATTTCCATGGTCTACAAATACACAGGAACACGAACTACTCGAAGTTGTCATCGAGACACTTGGTTGACATTCTTACGGTAGTACGTGGACCCCATTTTACTGTGAATTCTGCAAACGTACGTAGACATTCAAGCCTTCTGTAATTTAATCTAGGTATTGAAGTGGTGTGGCAGCTTAACGCGGCCAACATATGTCTCGAGTCCTATGTTACTTATGTCTGACTGAACGTGGTGTTTGCGTCTCTTCTAACATTGAATTGACTTAGAAAGAATTACAGCTTTAAGAATAGATACGATAACAATAACCTTAGTTCACAAACATCAAGACATTCCTACTTTACGAAACTAAAACGTGGAGAACTACTACAACCATCATCAAGAGAGTATAAGTATTTATAGATAGTTGTCTGCGCAAGACATTCAATATCCGTTGATCGGATATCATCAGCAACGGCCTACTGTGGGAAAGAAGATACCAGGTTTTGGCTGATGAGGAATAGTATCCTTGACTGAAAAACGCTTATTTTTCAAGCGAACTTAATAGATACGGGTTATTTTGAGCAAATCTTTTATCTACTGAAAATACATCAAACAAAGGTGGTCTTGAAGTTAAAATAAGTAATCTATATTCAGTAATCTGTTTGTATTCACAATATGTTTCGCTCGTTCTCAGTCCAAGATAGATCATCTAGTCTTCGTTATCTGTTGATAGATTCAAAGTTTGGAACACTTTAGTTCACTAAACACGATCAACAATCATGGCAGATACTAAGAGCTTTTACTTGAACTGAGCTATTAAACTCTACTGTCATTAGCTTTTTTACACTACTATACTACATATTGTCATTTATTAATATACTTTCCTAGTATGTCATTACTTCAGAAGTTTTAAATAAGGTGTGAATAGCATTACTATACTTGTGGTCTTATACATGGTGAATCAGTATCATTAGATCCTGCGAAAGTTTAATCGACATTGACACCAAATTCTTTACAACAAAGTGAAATCTCCATGAAGATAATTAGTGATAGACGTGGATGTCAAATATTGTTTGGAGAATAGAACTAGTATACTTATAAGTCTTTCTCTGCTTGAGAATTTAGTAGAAAGTTAAAATCACTGATGATATATATGCCCCCAAATGCCTCAGTACGGCTCTTCCTCTCGAAATGCTCTCACATGGCCACGTGTATATAGCATCTGTCATGAAGGTCCTACTCTGCATTATCGTGGTGGGGGTGTTGTTTACAAAATTGAGAAGACGAAAAGCTAATGTTCGGCGCTTTAACCTGGTTGGTGGACATGAGGAGTTCAGCTAGGGGAGTTGGAAAACCCTGATTTCAAACTAATGGTGCACATGGGCTCCAGTATCCTGAAGGAACAAATGGCGTATGAACCAATCGTTGATCAACGGCTACCATGGAACTGCATCTCCTTACGTTGCTACACTGCCTTGTGGATCAGACCTTCAGGTTGAAGGCTCTGGGTGTGGCCCTCTAAGAAAACCACCTACTTCGGTTAAGGCACCCGGGCAGTATCAGAGCCCTCACACATATCAAATGAGATCCGTGTGGCGCATATGAATTTGGTGCCTCCTTGTATCAATATCTACGTATTAAAATAAATAAAAGGAAATACCCAGGAATTCATTACAAGCATTTGTGGTCATTGATAATTTTTAGATTAATATTATTTATAGATTAGTGATTTGGAACAAGAGAAGAAAGATTTAGAAAGACAAGTATATGAATTAAAAACAAAGTGTGAACAGATTGAAAAACGTGCAGCAGAACAAAGACAATTAGAAGAAAAGAAACATCAAGATGAAATACAATTTTTAAAACGAAATAATCAACAACTAAAGGTTAGTTAATCTCAATTGACAATGTATGTAATCATTGTTTTACATTTTATTAATGGATTATCAAAATGATGAATAAGGAATATGATGTATTCTTTACAGTATTTATTGTTGAGACATAATAATCAGGTTTCTACTCTACTATATCAAAGCAACTCAATTCGTTCAAACATCATCTCTACATAGATTAGCAGTTAATAGTATGGAAAGAAATACGATGTATTTCATATACATTTAGATAAGGATTGCTCCACTATTTGTTAGGCTTTTCTCATTCTCGTATACATCAGCTACCTATCAAGTATTTGATACATTTACTTGCTTATTTAACAGTAGTAATACAGAGAACGAGAACACATGTGGGGATAATCGAATGTATTTGAACACAACATTACAGAATGTTTTAGTAAAATCTGTGAACCATACAGTAAATACTTCAATTTGCAAAATATCAGTTAGTTGTCTCAAAGTTGATTGTTCCCTCGTTTCCATACCAAGTACTCTTTGTTCTCGTTCTCTTCTTTTCGATCTTCTTAACTGTCTAGTACCAGATGTTTTACTTTTGATTGATGATACATACAACTTCTATCTATCAACACCAGTAGTACATATCATAGTAACCCTTAGTGAATTCGATTTCAAGGATTTAAATAATGAACATGTTCTTGTCCAAGAAGCATTGTTATTTGATTTATATACCACAATGTGGATCATATTTTGTATTTCATTTGTTTGATAAAAACACTTCTTATATGGTGGCTTAAATGTAGCCTATCGATTAATTTTTTTCAATTTTTAGGCTCAATTGGATGGAATCATGAATCCGAAGAAATAATTATTATCCTATTACTGCTAAACAACTCCATACACGATTTTGTCTCTATTTCTTATTTTAAGACATTAATTTCTGTTATAAAATGTATGGTATCCAATCTAGGCAACTAGAATATATTATTGTACCATATGAAGGTTTCAACTATCATATTGTGAATACCAAACTTTCCATTATGACTGAAATAGTATGGTTTATTTTCTGATTAGGTATAATAGCCTAAGTCGTTATTTACCATATCAGACGACGTACATTGAATAAAAACAGAACTGAACAAAAAGAAATCATGTTTGATAGTTTATTTATTATTTATTTTAACACATAGATATTGGTACAAGGAGGCACCAAATCCATATGCGCCACACAGATCTCATTTGATATGTGTGAGGGCTGTGATACTGCCCGGGTGCCTTAACCGAAGTAGGTGGTTTTCTTAGGGGGCCGCACTCGGAGCCTACGACATAAAGGTCTGATCCACAAGGCAGTGTAACAACGTAAGGAGATGCAGTTCCATGGTAGCCGTTGATCAACGATTGGTTCATACGCCATTTGTTCCTTCAGGATACTGGAGCCCATGTGCACCATTAGTTTGAAATCGGGGTTTTCCAACTCCTCCAGGTGAATCCTCCGTATCCAACATCCCGGTTTCGGTTTCGTAAACAACATGCCAACCGTGAGTCGGACTTTTGTGGCAGCGGCTGTATGCACATGACCATATGAGAGCATGTCGAGAGAGAGAGCTGACCCTCCTCACTCTCGGCCGTACCAGGGCATTTGGACAATGAAACTAACATATAGATGTAAATGTGACTACGTAGTATTGATGTCTTACATAATGTCAAAATTCATAATTCTTATTTAAACATTAAAAAACTTCCTACTTGATAGACCAACTCAAGCAGTGAAGAACTTTTATGTCCTCTATTTATCATCTCCTCAATTAAGGGATAAGTTAACTAATCTTGTTACATTCACATGCATCTAAGACTTCAGATGATGCTATGCAGAGAGCTGTAACGAGCATAGTGACATGAAACTGAACGGAGTTAGTTAAAACATCTCGTAGTTGGGGAAATGGTATGGTCAGAACTCAGTTCAATTCTATCACACTTAATCGGTAGTGGTCACGAAGTAGACAGAACTAAATCTTTTACAGTAATATACCACATACTTAATAATTGTCCTTATTGGGTTCTTTCTCGTCCCTTATATATAACAGAAAGTATAGGAATTCGAGCTAACACTCCGTCTTTGCACCCATAAAAATATTTGTAACACGATTATATCTTCTTTGACTGGATGAATTAAGCTTAGAAAACGATTTTACTTATAATTATTTTCAGAAGGGGTTTGTGGAGATTTTTAGAAATTTTCACAGATTGAAATCATGAGTCAGTTGAAGCTAGACCACCATTGAAAACCTGGAAGCACTGGACGGCCGTTTCGTCCTAGTATGGGACTCCTCAGCAGTGCGCATCCACGATCCCGCACCACGCGTGGCTCGAACCCAGGACCTACTGGCTTCGCGCGCGAGCACTTAACCATTAGATCTCCACAAACCCCTTCTGATAATAATCATCTGCTCACTAGTGACTGACTTCAAGAAATACTCCTGGAGTTCTAGTGGGAAGCCGTTACCAGTGGAGTACAACCAGGTCTGTTGTGAGATATCAGCTCACTGAAGACAATGGTATATGGTGGCGCAACTTCGTGGATTGGTTGAAGTTAGACATTAACACCGTTGGATGCCGGCTCAGTGGTCTAATGGTTTAGTGCTCGCGCGCGAAGCCAGTAGGTCCTGGGTTCGAGCCACGCGTGGTGCGGGATCGTGGATGCGCACTGCTGAGGAGTCCCATACTAGGACGAAACGGTCGTCCAGTGCTTCCAGGTTTTCAATGGTGGTCTAACTTCAACTGACTCATGATTTCAATCTGTGAAAATTTATAATTATTTCTCACAACCCTCATTGACAATGTGATTCGAGAAGACAGAATGGAAAGATATGTATGTAGGAACACTGGAAACTAGCATCAAGAGGAAAATGAGGAACGGATGGATCTCAGCCATTATTGACCAATACTGAGTCATATCACCTAAAGTCTTCAACTACTAGGCACAATAACCGCGCTAACTGTATAACTAGATAGTTTTTATTTACCAAAATGGTTCAGACTAACATTCAAGGACTTTATTGATTGATACTATGTATTGTTTTGTCTTCTTTACCGGCTTTCTTACAACTTACTCATATACCAGCTAAATCAGTCAGTAACAACGTAGAAATTCGTACGTACGTACGTACGTACATTAATTCAAGTTGCCATACCACATTAGCACACTGATACTATTGTCTATTCAAATCTAACAGTGGTAGAGGTAGTAAGAGTATAAGCAGTAATCGGAAACATTAGGGTTTGAAGATGTTATTCAAGGAGTATAATCCAGTGAAATAAATTTGGAAAGAGAAAAAAAAGAAAGGGACATGAAGAATTGAGAAGACTAGAATTTGGGAGAACACAAAGAATGGATGCACCTGCACTCACCACTGCAAACGATTTTGAGCCATGTCATTCAAGGTCTCTAACCCTCGGTTGTTATCGTCTCGCGGATCTCAACCAGATAGTCTACACCTACCAACATTGCTCAGTCCACTTGTCAATGACATCATGGATTTGTAACATGTTTTGGTCTGGCCACCCCTAGCTTTCTTCCAACCTCCTAATACACCATAAAACATCGCACGTCGGGGTAGTTGGTGGTTGGGCATACGTAACACGTGTCCCAGCCATCGCAACTGATGACGTTTCACTACTTCGTCAATTGATTTGTCATCCTTACCTAGTACCCATTTCCTAACAACTGCCTTACTTACTCGATGGACCCAGAATATACGAGCAATGCTTCGAATACTAGTAACCTACGAACATCTACTCTAACCGGCTATATTTCACTGCCATAAAGTAGGACGGAATGAATTGCTGCGCAATAAACCCGTCGTTTATTTGATAGACCGTTACAAACCACTTAACATAGCTGGTTCCACAAAGAGAAATGACACAATGATCGATCATACTGATTTTCATGAAATCAACAACTATTCAACAATAGACGAAGCAATCCAAACATTCTAATCCATTTAAACAATTTTCTTAAGAATAAATTCATTTTAATTTAAAAACAAACAAAAATTACACTGTACAACAAAATGCACAGTACAATACACTTCTATCCAATTTACATGTTCCAATGAATATGGATTACATATAAAAACACATAAGGTAACAAATAATCAATATTTTCCCCCTTCAACATTGAACGGTTAAAACAAAACTTCACAAAAACATATTGTCTTACTTTTTCTTTTACAAAGATCCCCCCCAAAAAAAACCCCAGTTTCATAGTATATGATTACAATGTATAGTATTAAGTGATTACTAAACAGCTGAAGAATCATAACGTTTCGGTGGTCTAACACGTCTAGTTGATCGACGTACAGTTTCTGATGAATCAGTCATAGAACTTGTTACAGATGAATTATCATCATTATCATCCATATCAATTGGTTGATATGGATGATGATAATGATGATAATTATGTTCTTGATGAAGACGATCTAAATGATCAATAATAGATTCTGTTGTTTGTTGTGAAGAATGAGTAGAGATTTTATGATGAGGATGTTGATCACGTGTTTTGCGTGATTTTACTGTAACTTTTGGAGTAGTATCTTCTTTATTATCAACATCATTATTAGTTAACTGATAAGTAGTTTCTTTAGTATGAAATTGATCTAAAACAACCATTGGATTTTGTAATTTTGTAGGTGTGAAAATTGGGGTTTTAGTAAGAGAAGTTGTATTGTCAAGCTCAATTAAGTATCTGTCAAAATGAAATTCAAATACATCAAAATAAGTGTAAACATTTTACAGTAAAGTACTATTTTAATAGATATTGGTCGAATAGAGATAAACTCCATAGAAAAGGAGAAAGGGATCAAATAGGGATGACTAAATCAAACTATAGCATTAGTTCATGAATCTATCCTGACCGTTGTTGCTACCTTGACGTGGTAGTCGGACTTTCCGATCGTGATGAACCAATCGAGCTATACTGGCTGGAAAAATCGTTCCTCAACGTCCTACCATGTCAAATAGGTCGGTTGAAGAACGGTAAGACGGAAAGCAACAAACCTAAGGTCCGAGAGCGAAGTCATACTGCTGACTGTACAGAGGTGTGACGGTAGTAAGGTGTTTCCTTCGGACAACCAGCATAACAGCAAGACTGCCTTCCCACAAGGAGGGGTGGGGTTAGAAAAGGTCGACCTTAGAAATGCACACCTCGCCTTATCCCACGAATATCCGTCTCCGGCGGCAAGGTCTCAACATGTACGGAGCTAACACGAAAATTACTCACAAAAAGGTCATGTGTGACCGACCTCAAGCAGTTATCCCTTGTGCACTGCGGTCACACTCTCAGGTCACTAAAACCACCTGTAATCCAATTTTTATTTTCAGGCGCGTCCAGAAGAACCCTTCGACGGTGTGGGCAACTGGGAAATGATAATCGCCCTCTTACCTCTAATAGTATTCAAGATCACTGTACTCATTATGAAGTTAATAACTGATGGACTAAATTATGTAGCCGTTAGATATACTCAAAATGTTTGATTCGGAAATAGCTTATTCGATTGTTTCATGATATATGGTTTGATCAAAATACCTGAAACCTACAAAGGTTTTACACTTCCATAGTTCATATGTCACAGTTGTTGTACAGTGTACTCTTCCGTTTGTTGCCAGATGGAAATTTTGTTTACCCAACAGATGGCTTTAATTTGCAAAAGTTAAGCGACCTTTCTGAAGCTAACGATAATGACATTTCAAAGAGATAGGTAAGGTGATCAGCATTCTCTACTACTTCACTCCTTATCATCAGTATAGACGATATATAGAGTTAAAATTGAATAACAAATGCACTCACTTATTTACTTTCTTCTATTTACCTGTGGCAGCAAAATCCGACCTAAGGCCTCCTCGCGGCGCTGCTGGGTAGTATAGGCAACCTTGCAAGCCAACATAGGCAGTCGATGAATATAGGACTGATCACCCACTTTGTGACACCCTTCATTAACTCGGGTTCCAACTCGAGACTTACTAAACTGCACCGGGCCACCTGACGTGTATGCTTATGTACGAGAATTACAGAAGTCCTCGGGCCTATGTAGTTCATGAATATAGGCATATGTAAAGAGTGTGTGGTGTCGTACAAAGGAAACGCTAGCTGAAATATTGTCTGTCCTATGTCTAATAAAATCAGTGGCCTATTCTATCAGGTCGAAGACATAATAAAATTATATGGTAGCAAATACTAGGAAGAGGCGACCAACAACCTTACCTGAGAGCATGCTTATGCGTGGTGTTAGGAAGTACTGGGGTGGTATCTATAGATTGGATGATAGGTATGTAATGCGTAAGAAAGTCTGTTGTAGCAAATACGTCCCTAAGGGAGCGGTGAACAATTTCTCTCCCAAATGGGTGAATATACCTATATGTATGCTATGAGATGCATGGGATAAAACCTGTGTTACCGCCATGCATGCAACGTATATTTGCTCACAAGGGTAGGTATACCTGTATGTATACCAATGAATACTCGGATGAAAGTCCATGTATTACCTAGTATGCATGTAGACTATGAACATCCACGGTAATTAAAAACTTCAAAAATCCTTTCTTGTTCTTCTTACGATACCAAGATACATACAAAGACCTGTGAAGCCGCGGTTTCCCACAAAATCACATTCACGTGATGGATTTGTGAGCCTTCAAAACATTGGTTGATTGATGTTAGACCACCAAGAGAAACTTGGACAGCCGATTCGTCCTATTGTGGGACTCCTTAGTTGTGCAAATCCATGATTCCGTTCGCGAGATTTGAACCCAAGGCCTTCAAACTCGCGTGCGAACGCGTAGCCCCTAGACTACTGAGTCGGCATTCAATGGTGTTAATGTCTGACACCTCAACCAGTCCGCGAAATTGCTCGATCATCTTTCATGGTCGTGGATGCGCACTGCTGAGAAGTCCCACGGTAGAACGAAACAGCCGTTCAATGCTTCCAGGTTTTCAATAGTGGTCTAACATCAATCGATTCATGATCTTAATCAAAAACATAATAATCTTCACAACCTTATACTGATAATTAATTACTATCTTTATACGAAGAAATCTTACGTGGTCTTCGCCGTATTCATTTGATCACAATTTATAGTACTCTCATCAAAATCATTATTATTATTGTTAGTAGTAGTAGTAGTAGAAGTAGAAGAGGATTGATTTGATTCATCCATTGAGATTGGTAAGATTGAAACTTTGTGAATATTATTATCTATGGATTGATTATGTTTAATTGTTTTATTTACTAATGGTGCTGAAAACAGAAATTCATTCTTTTCCATAGATTTATTAAAGGTTGGCTATTTCAAGGAGGAGAAAAATAAAACAAAACAAAATAACTAGAAGAGAATTAAAAAAAAAAGAAGAGAAACAAATGAATATGAACAGTGAAACACTTTAATGATACCCGAATTTTCTAATGTGTCGCGCAACTGTACTACTACTGGTTCGATTTGAGTAGTTTATAAATCAATTAGACAAATAACACAATCGAGAAATAATTAGTTTGTATAGTGTGATCGTCTTTGATAGTAGTCAACAAGCTCAATGATTTGATATTAGAAACTTTAATCATCTAACATGTTGTTAGGTGTAGACTATCTGGTTGGGATCCGCAAGACGATAACAACCAATGGTCAGAGACTTTGGCCCCAAAATGCCCTGGTACGGCCAAGAGTGGAGGAAGTTCGCTCTCCCTCTCCAAACGCTCTCACATGGCCACGCGTATATAGCCTCTACAAGAGAAGTCCTACTCACTGCCTTCTCGCACCATGGGTATTGTTTACGAAAATGAGAGGACGAAAAGCGAATGTCCGGCGCCTTAATCGGATCCCAAACCAATGGTGCACATGGACTGGCTCCAGTATCCTGCGGGAACAAATGGCGTATGAACCAATCGTTGATCAACGGCTACCATGGAACTGCATCTCCTTACGATGCTCCACTGCCTTGTGGGTCAGACCTTCGGGTCGAAGGCTCTGGATGTGGCCATCTAAGAAAACCACCTGTTTCGGTTTGCGCACCCGGGCAGTATCACAGCCCTCACATATCAAATGAGATTTGTGTGGCACATATGGATTTGGTGCCTCCTTGTACCAATATCTATGTGGTAATAATAAAATAATAAAAAAAGACTTTGAATGACGCAAATGCCGCAAGTGCATCCACTCTTTGTGTTCTCCCAAATTCTAATCTTCTCAATTCTTCATGTCCCTTTCTTTTTTTCTCTTTCCAAATTTATTTCACTGGATTATACTCTTTGAATTACATCTTCAAACCCTAATGTTTCCGATTACTGCTTATACTCGTACTACCTCTACCACTGTTAGATTTGAATAGACAATAGTATCAGTGTGCTAATGTGGTATGGCAACTTGAATTAATGTACGTACGTACGTACGTACAAAGTTCTACGTTGCTGCTGACTGACTGAGTCATCTAACATCTGGACGATATTATTATTTCAACACTCATATAAATACAGAATACATCATCTATACAATGAATAATTGAACAAAGATTATTATTATTATTATTAATATTATTATCAGCTTTATTCAATATTACATTTTTGGAATAACATAGAATTCTCAGTGAAAAGTATTTTAACAAGTTTCCATTGTTTATTTCTCGAAAAATCTTGAATGATCGCCCATTAGATGTAGGCAATTCAGGAATCGATATTTAAATAATGTAACTTCTTTTCAATGTACATTGCCAGCAGCTACGATATCTCTAACAGTGTTCTTTCCTAACGTATACAACGAAAAGTCATAAACTTTTCACAAACACACCTGAACAGGTGATGCAATTAATTGATATAATGATGTATCAAAGTGAGAATCTTCAATACGAACGTCAAGGCAATTCTACTGTATGGAGCTGAAACTTGGAGAACTACAACAACCACAATCAAGAAAGTACAAGTATTTATAAATAGCTGTCTACGCAAGATACTCAACATCCATTGGCCGGATACCATCAGCAATAGCCTTCTGTGGGAGAGAACAAACCAACTTCCAGCTGAAGAGGAAATTAGGAAAAGACGATGGAAATGGATAGGACATACATTACGCAAATCGTCAAACTGCATCACGAGGCAAGCTCTAACTTGGAATCCTGAAGGGAAGCGGAAAAGAGGAAGGCCAAAGAACACATTACGTCGGATAATAGAAGCAGATATGAAAAGGATGAATTACAACTGGAAGGAGCTGGAAAGGATTGCCCAGGACAGGGTTGGATGGAGAATGCTGGTGAGCGACCTATGCTCCTTCACGAGGAGTAACAGGTGTAAGTAAGTAAGTAAGTAAGTGTATTAAAACAAACCAAAAAAAAAACAGATAACTTGTTGAAATATCTAGATCAGTCAGTCAGTAACAACGTAGAACTTCGTACGTACGTACGTACGTACATCAGTTCAAGTTGCCATACCACATTAGCACAAAGATACAATTGTCGATTCAAATCCAACAGTGGTAGAGGTAGTAAGAGTATAAGCAGTAATCGGAAACATTAGGGTTTGAAGATGTTATTCAAGGAGTATAATCCAGTGAAATAAATTTGGAAAGAGAAAAAAAGAAAGGGACATGAAGAATTGAGAAGATTAGAATTTGGGAAAACACAAAGAGTGGATGCACCTGCTCACACCACTGCAAACGCTTTTGAGCCATGTCATTCAAGGTCTCTAACCCTCGGTTGTTATCGTCTCGCGGTTCTCAACCAGACAGTCTACACCTACCGGCATGGCTCAGTCCATTTGTCAGTGACTTCATGGACTTGTGCCATGTTTTGGTCTGGCCACCCCTAACTTTCTTCCAATGTACTCCTACACCATTGATAGCAAGAACAAGTAGCCCAGATATTCAAACAGGCCGACTATTTAATTTAGACACCCTTAACGTATTTCCAACCATCCCCAACATTATTTAGCATTGCATATAGTCTAACTATCTCAGTCGGTGAAGATTCACAACCTCACATACGAATTTATATTGAAAAGTATGAAGTATTGTACAACTGTTTGACTTTATAATATGGGACACTTCATTGGGTATCCACCACCCAACTCACAACTATAAACTATGATGAATATAAATTCAAGAAAAAAAAAGAATTGAAACCAGGTGGAAACAGAAAAAACAACAACAACAACAACAACAAAAATAACTTACTGTATTCGATGGTGTTAAAGAGAGACGATGAGGAGCGGAGAAAGTGAATTCATTACATTTATTATTTACATTATCCTGTAATAATTTATGCTGAAATTTCTCTGTATTCACAATACCTAAAGTAGATTGTTGTTTGTTTGTTTTTTTTATAAAGGAAAATAATTTAGATGATTATTATGGGGAAAATTAGTTTAAAAATGAAAATAAAATGAGCTAGACCATCATGGTAAAACTGCTGAAGAGTCTCATAATAGAATGAAATGGTTGTCCAGTGCTTCCATGGTGGTCTAGCTTTAATTGGCCCATGAATTCAACTATTAAAAATAATATATTATCCACAAAACCCCTTCTGATATTAACTAACATATGCTCACTAGTAACTGTCTTCAAGAGGTAATTCCAGGAATTCTAATGAGAAGTCGTGACCAGTGGTGTTCAACCGGGTTTGTTGTGAGATAGTAACTCACTGAAGACAATGGTGAACGATCGAGTAATATTGTGGATTGGTTGAGGTTAGACATTAACACCACTAGGTGTCGGCTCAGTAATCCAGTAGGTTAAGCGTTCGCGCGCGAGACTGAAGGCCCAGGGTTCGAATCCCGCAGGCGGGATCGTGGATGCACAGTGATGAGGAGTCCCACAATAGGATGAAACAGCCGTCCAGTGCTCCCAGTTTTTCAGTGGTGGTCTAACATCAATCGGTTCATGATCTTAATCAAGAACACATAAATATTGGTATAAAAGGGCATCGAATACATACGCGTCACACAAGTCAATTGATTTGTGTGTGGGCTGTGATACTGCACGAGTGCCCAAATAGGTGACCATTTCCGGATCCTTCGACCTAAAGGTCTAATCCATAAGGCAGTGGAACAACGTCAAGAGATGCAGTTTCATAGTGACTGATGACCAATAATAGGTTCATACGTCATTTGTTTCTTCAAGATTCTAGAGTCCATGTGCACCATTGATTTGGAACTAGGGTTCTCCAACTCCCCTAGGTAGATACTCCGTATCCACTAACCTGGTTAGAGCGACGGACATTCTCTTTTCGTCTTATCAATTTCGTAAACAACAGTAATGCCACGAGAAGGCAGTGACTAGGACTTCTGTGGGAGTAGCTGTATACGCATGGCCACGTGAGAGTATTTTGGGAGGTATAACTGACTCTCCCCACTCCCGGCCGTACCAGGGCATTTGGGGCGGGGAGGTATGGATAAGGCATGCATAATAACTGAAACTTAAGATCTAAAGAAAGATCATTATTGGTGATAGTAACACTATTCTTTTCTTTCGCTTTTTTTTCTGTTCTCTCAACTTGTTACTCTTTTAATATACATAAATTATTATCAACTTGTACTTACTTGGACGAACAGTTGATAAATTTAACGTGACATCACAATCATCATCCTCCTCATCAATATTACAATCATCATCATTATTATCATAAATTTTATTACTGATTTCTTGATCAGTAGTATTTTTAATAAGATTTAATTCATTTCTCAGTAAATTATTTTCATTCATTAGATGTGATGAATTTTTTATATTACTACAATTTGTTACATTTGTTGTATATGTTGAACGTGATAAAGATGATGATGAGGAGGATGAGGAGGAGGAGGATATGACAGGATTCAAAGAAGTGGAGAATAATAAAGATGATGGTAATGAAGATGAAGAAGAAACAATCGTCGCTGCTGCTGCTGCTGTTGTTGTTGTTGTTGTTGTAATCGTCGTTTTCATAGAGTCAACCATTGTCGAAACCGAAATTTCTTTATTCGATAAACACATTTTAGTCTAAACATATCAACAACAACAATAAAAAGGTACTAATAGTAAATGGGTACTACTAACAATGAATCAATGTTTAAATAATCAAATTATTACACAGTTTATCATATATAAAAATTGAGGTGAGACTACAATTTACGGACGAATCAATCAGATCTAAGATAACAGGACTTAGATTTTCGCGCGAAATTCACTCATCCATTTGGATAAATAGAGTTTTAGCATTATAGCTGATGTCAGTTCGTGATGAAAATCCTTAATCTAATTCCTAACCCTAACCATGAACTGTAAATCATAATTCTGATTCATCACACTGATTTATAACCTACATTTGGTCCTAGTTATTAGATGGAAACTCTCAATGTCACTTTAACGTCGCTCAAACGTCGTTCATAAATTATAGTCTCACCAAAACTGTATCATAATCCCCTAAGTACTGATCAATTCTTATTGATCCAGTCTACCAAATGATCATCCAAGCACAACAATATGGAATTAAAATGAACTATGTAATGATTCTGATAGTTTCTAGTATGGAAGATTAAAAAGTGGTGATGTGGACAACTGTAAAGTATTAATAATCTAATAGCTGAGATCATGATTTAGTTGAAGCTAGACCATCATGGAAAACCTGGAAGCAGTGAATGGCCGTTTTGTTCTATTGTGGGACTCCTCAGCAGTGTACATCCACGATAACCACCCAGTGCGATTCAAACCCAGAACCTATTGGTCGCGCGCACGAACGCTTAACCTCTAGACCACCGAGGATGTCTTTCACATATTAGTGAGGTCTTAAAAAGAATCTGAATTATTACTAAAAATAATGTTGATAAAACAGCAAAAACGAAAAAGTAAAGAGAGAGTTTTGGGCACTATCACCCAAGATCTGTATACGAGTTGTATTTCTCACCTGAGCACTGTAATTAAAAAATTTCATAACGGATACTAAAAATCTGTAAAACTAAAGGTGGTGTGTTAGTACTACGTCTGAAGAGATTAAGATATTACCTGAACTAACGAACGGAACAAAGGTCAACAACACAACAACAAGACAAGCTAAACTATATCACTGAGCCCCAGTCCTGCTAACAAGAAGGAAAAGACCAGATTCAGACGAGAGAACGAACAAGCACATAACTTCAGCATATATATGCAGTATATAATGTCCTTAGGAAACGTCAAAAAATAGAGTATTAAAATAGGAAACGAACCAATGATAACTAAGGTCTGCCGAAGTGGTAAATACAATTTGAAGTTAAAAATATGCACCGTTGGCGTGAAAATGAGAAATTCAAATTGTTGTGGAGATTCAGAAAACTCCTAGAAAAAAACTCTGAAAACATTGAGAAGCATCTTATTCAAACAGCATTCACTAGAAGTTTTGTCAGAAACATCTAGAAAGTGAAAGATCACATGTCGAGTTTCTGATTTGATGATTACCTATAAGGCTACTGTGTTTAGTAGCGTTCCAGAATTTTCCGGAAACCCAAGGTCATCTGAAATACTATAAAACGCCTAGATTTTCTGTACATAAATGAACCTTCAGAGTAAAACGTTTCTTCCATAATTCACCCCTTTTCTCTCATGTTCACGCTGCTGTATAGATCTAGTTTAAGGGTTACTAGAAGAACTTAGGAATCTAATCTAGTGTTCAAGTAGCAAGACTTATCATAAATCCTCAAAATAAAACCACAAAAATGTGACCTTTACCAAGTGTGCTCTGAGGATCCGACATCCTCGACTGTTAAAGGTTTGGAGTTAACCTTTTTTTTTTTAAATCATCTTAGTCATGGACACTCAGTAGCAACAGAAAACAATTCACTAACCTTTAATATAGAAATTGGTTTTTGATTAAATGGACTTGATATTGAATTGTTGAATAATGAATTAGAAGATGCCATTAAACGATTTGTTATTGTATTTGAATGAATTTGTTTACGTCCGCAAGATGGTGGTGTATAGATACATCTAGATATGATTAAAATAACAGAAGATAAAATGTAGATCATTCCAATGAGAATAGCGATACATACACATTACAAATTACAAGAACAATATTTTTCTTTTCAACTATAGATACGACTAAGTATAATCAACACCTGGCAAGACTATAATTTATGGACGAGTCAATCAGAAGCGTTTGAAGGAATTCAATGTCACAGCGTCTATTTCAGTACCTGATGTTCACGTACGACCAGTTCACAGCAGATTTTGAGAGAAAACATGATAATTGAGCGGTTAAAACAAATGGGATTACTAAGAAACTCCTTTATTTGTGATTATGGTAATCAAATGATTTGTGGTCTTTGTGCAGACTACCGTGATGATGTTGTCTTCCGATGTTATGTGTATTGGAGGAAGAAGTCTGCTACAATAGGTTTTTTTTCTCGCTCGATCCAGATTGGGACTAAGGCAATTTATGATGATTGTTACGAAGTGGATAATAAAAGCACCAGTAACACTGGCTGCAGCCGGGTATTACAATATATGCGGATGATTGGAGAGCGTACAGATGCCTAAATAGACTTGACTATGTGTATCATGTCGTTATCCACAAGCGGCATTTTGTGGACCCAACAACCAGAGTGCACATAAACAATTTTGAAGCTATATGGTAGAAGCTGAAAGAGTTTTTGCGACCTTATCATGGCTCCATAGCCCTACTAATATGGAACCATATAGATGTTATCCTCTACCGTATGCATTACAATTTCAGAACCTCTGAACCGCTTTCTAACGTTGACAAATTTTTGAACCAAGTAAAAGAAGTGTATCCACTTTCATTCTTTGGTTTTGTATAGTATAGTTTAATTCTATACTAACTGTTTTCTGATTGGTTGGTATTTCTCAAGGTCACTTGTGATTCCTTCACAGGTCGTCCATAAAATATAGTCTCACAGACTGTTTCAATAAAAAAAAATTTCCGAATACGAAGGACTAGAAAGGCTGTGAACATGTATTTCCATACATCCAATTATGTGTATAAGAGATCCATTAATAAATTCCGTAGTAAAATTCTTCACTTTTATCATTCATGCGACCACTGATATAACAATGTGATAAAACAAAGTCGTGTATTGGGATTTCGATGATAATATCTGGACATTGAAAAGAGATGTTCACTAGTTCGTTGCCTAATTTGTATGACGGAAAGGACTGACAAAGCTACTTTGAAAGATGGGGTTGCATTACTAAAAAAAAGAACCCAGGAATCAACCGTTAGAGTTAGTGAAACATGCAACGACGATACAAGGACAAGACAAACATCGACCAATTAAGTTTATGAAAAGGTTAGATGTAGTGTCTTTGTCGTTTTACGACCACCAATTGGCTGTTTGAATGATTGTAAATGAAATGGATTTGTGAGACTGTTTGTAAATACGATTCTAGTCAAAATATTTTTGACTGAGAAAAATTTGAAACAAGACAATTAATTGGTATACATAACCAGAAGTTGTAAGGAACAAAAGAATGAGAGATGAAACAAGTACATTGCCAAGAAGATGTATTTTTAAAGGAGATGAAATAGATACCATACTCTAAGTTTTGTAAAATAAGTTTCTTATAATCTGAGTTCACACAGATGTTTTTTTTTTTTACAAAGGTCGATAAAGAAAGTCAGTTCGTTAGCTACAACGTGGGACCAGGTACATATATGCATCGGTTTAAGTTGCCATACCTCATCACCAAAACAAGATAAACACCAAATTCATACAAGTAGTCACTTCAATGTTAGTAATATATAAAAGAAAGATTACATATAAAGATATAATACAGGTAGAAAGAATTAGTTTGTAAAAAGAAAGATACGAAGCTATTTTAAGCTCATAGTTTAAGGGAAGACAAAGAGTGTATACACCTACGCCATTCTGATCGATTCTGAGCCATGTCACACAGTCTCCAACCATCGGTTACGATAGTAACGCGGACCCCAACTAAGTAGACTGCATCTACCAACATGGCTTAGACTAGAAGTTAGTGACTTCGTGGACTGATGACACGTTTTGGTTTGGCCGCCCCTAACTTTCTTCAAACCATCCCAAACACTAGTCAGCATTGTGCGTCTTGGTAATCGGTGTTCAGGCATATGTAACATGTAGCACTCAGTCGATGAAGATTTACAACCTCATCGACTGATTTATCATCATTCCCTTATACCCTGCGTCTAACTTCACTATTACTTACCCGGTGATCCCAAAAGACACAAGCAATGTTTCTAAGGCATCTGTTGTCAAATGCTAGCAAATTACGAGTATCGTCTACCCTTAAGGGCCAAGCTTCGCATCCGTAAAGCAGAATAGAACGATAAAGAAAGTGCCATAATACAAGGAAATTTTATTAAATAAACAAACTTACTTAAACAAGTACTTGCCAAGATCATCATCTTTCGAAGGAAATTCACGTTTCTTAGTTAATTTCAATCGAGATTCACTTAAATTAACTGGTTGTGTTGGTGTTACTAATGTTGAATTAGTAGTATTAATAGTAGTATAATCCATTAGACGACAACGACTATCATTTAACCAAATATTTGAATTTAAACCACAACTTTCATGAAGATCTTGTAATCTATATTCAATATGTAAACAAAGGCAACTTTATAAAAAGATTATTTAAGTATTATAATTATTCTAATGTAGAAAAATAATTTTCAACTTAGCGATCTATATATAAAGAGCTTGTATGATGAGACTTGGAAGTCATGAGTTTATGTTGCGGTGATCTAGAAAACTTCTCGCAAAAGAGAAGAAAGACTCAGGAAACACTAAGAAGCATTTTATCCTATCAGCGTCCACTAGAAGTTTACCCAGAAACATCAAGAAAATGAAAAGTCACAAGTAGAGTTTTTGATTGGGTGATTACTATACTGCTACTATGTTTGGTAGCATTTCGGAGTTTTCCGGAATGCCCAAGGGCATCTGAAATACTACAAAAACCCTAGATTTTCTGTACAAAAACGAATCTTTGGAGTAAAGTGCTTCTCGCATATTTTGCGCCTTTTCTCTTGTGTTCAGGTCGTTGTATAGTTTTAGGTTGGGGATTACGAGAATAGCTTAGGAACCGAATATAGAGTTCAATTAGCAAGACTTATCAGTTTAATCTTGTATGGAATTGTGAGTGCGCATATTTTATGAATCCATGAACCATAACTGTGAATATGCGAACGTGATGTGGTGAGGAATCATTTTATTTCTATATATAAAAGTATTCTAGAAGTGATTAATCCAAACGATCCCTGAGATTCAAGTAAATCATATATGACTTCTAAACAAATAATGAACTGTAATAAAAGTATACTTTTATCGGTAAATTCCAATTGATGTTCTTCTAGGTTTTCCTAAAGATTTCTCATATTAACAAACAATTATGCAAATAGAAACCCTTTCCCTCAATATATATGACACCAATTTGAGTGTTTTACTACAACTGATACCTCCAAAATAAAGAAAAAGCCAGTTCGTAGAAATGAGAAATGAGAGTCATAGAACAGTAGATCACTTACTAAGTCTTAAAAGAAACTATTGGTATCAATGTTACATATAAATAAACGCAATCAATTTACCCCTTTCTTAGGCAGATCGGAAGACGCAATATAGAAAGAAAACTGATGTAATATCATCTAGAAAGTAACCTATACCAACTGAGGTAACCACTATATTACATAAAATGGGCGCCCATAAACTTATATACAAAAATAAACTATCAGTGAAACGACGAGTTACGTTATTGCTAATACCAATACATTAAGGCAATCAAGGACGTGAATTCAACTGGGATAAACATCGAAATTCTGGACCGAGAAACTTTTAATGTTAGAAAATTTCAAGAAGCATGGTATTCAGGTCTATCGACAATCAGTTTGCAGATCAAAATCGAACCGATCTATCAACCCATAAGAAAAAAATTCAAACAACCACATTATCAGAGCTCAATCGAACACGAAAATTGACTTAGAAAAAAAGACAAAAAAGCAAAACGAAAACTACAGAAACAACCAACTGCAAAGGACACCATAGAGGAATGATTTAGCGTTTATAGAAGCTTACTACCAAACAAATTAAGTACTGATGAAAGCTCTGAAATGAAACTAATTAGGTCATAGAATCACAATTGATTGATCACTGGGTGGCGATCAATATCATGCGTATCTAGTCCTTATTAGTGCGGATCGAATGCTATCGACCATGTTGCAACAAAATCAAATTAGATGTATAGCTCGAAGTCTATATACGAAGTGAAAACAGAATTTTTCTTCTTATTATTATTGTCACTCACAAAATGAATAACTAATACACACATAACTAAAAATAGACTTCTGTCATCATTGGATAAATGAGAAGGTGAAGATGGTAAAGCGATTGATAAGGTTGTAAATCTTCATCAAGTTAAGTGGTTGGACATATGCGACAATTATCCCAACCACTGCTAATCTCGATGGGCGATGTTGTGTAGTATAGAAGTGGTTTGGGAGAAAGTCAAGCATGGCCAAACCAAGACATGGCATCAGTCCATGAAGACGCTGACTCCTTAACTGAACCGTATGGGTTAGTGCAGACTACCTGATTGGGGTCTGCAAGATTATTATAGCCAATGGTTAGAGTTATTCATAATGGCGTATATCCATTCACTTCTTGTCTTTCTTTGGAACCTGGGTCCTACAATCTCCTTATACTTTTTCTCCTTTTCTATACCTAATCTTTTCTGTTACTGCTGATGCTCTTTCAGCTTCTAGTAACCTGGTATTTATCTTCAGAATTTCATCTCGCTGTACTAATATGGCACAGCAACTTCAAGTAATACACCTCCTGACGGTTGTTGCTACCTTGATGTAGTGGTCGGGACTGCCTATCATGATGAACCAATCGAGGTATATTGGCTGGAACAATCCTTCCTCAACGTCCTACCATGACAGATAGGTCGGTTGAAGAACGGTAAGACTAAAAGCAACAAACCTGAGGTCCGAAGGTGAAGTCGTACTGCTGACTGTACAGAGGTGTGACAGCAGTAAGGTGTTCTTTCATACAACCATAATAACAGCAAGGCTGCCTTTCCACAAGGAGGGGTGGGGTTAGAAAAGGTCGACCCTATAAATGCACATCTCGCCTTATCCCACGAATATCCGTCTCCGGCGGTAAGGCCCTTTGAAGAACGGAGCTAACACGTCAAAAACCTCCCACGAAAGGCCGTGTGCGACCAGCCTCAAGCAGTTATCCCTTGGGCACTGCGGTCACGCTCTCAGGTCAATGAGACCGCCTCTAATCCAATTTCCTTTTCAGGTACCTCCAGAAGAACCCTTCCACGGTGTGGGCAACTGGAAAGTGATAACCGCTCTTATACCTCTAACAGCACTCAAGACCACTGTATTCACTGACTGAGTAATACACATTTGTCAGATAAGTACAACTGATTGATCGAACAAAACTACTATTTTTTGATTTACCTCTAATAATTTTACTCAACCATGACACATGGCATATTTTATCAAGGTAAACAATTATTTTCACTGCTCATTTTCTCCTATTCAGTTAGTAAATTACCTCAGCAAAACTTTGTTTATCTGTTATCATGTACATTTAAATGTAAAAGTGAATGTAAATTATATTGATCACAGAACGGAGTTAGAGTACCACTGAAAATCAAGAAGTGCTGAACAGCTTCTTCATCCCAGTCTGGAACATTTAGTGGCCCGTGGATCTGACTCCATTTAGATCGTATGAATGTTTGTTATCACCTATCCTCGTATACAATCATCGACTTAATTCACGTTAGTCAATAACGGAATTTAGATTAGTCAATTAACGAGAATGGCCTTTCAATACATATATTTTGTATGTAAAGTGAATCTAATGGAACAAAGCAAAATGCAGTGCGGTAGAGATAGCCGGTAAGCCAACTCACTTTTAGCCAGGCGTTACTCAATATTTATAGGCAGACAAAATAAACTACAGACATGTGATGAGACATGGGATATGAAGTGTACACACATATGCGCTCATATAAAAACAATCAAGACTGATAAGCGAATAATTAACAAGGTCAAAATATGACTCAAGTAGAACGAATAGATTGGGCTGTCCGAAAGTTAGAGTAAAGTATATGGGCTTAACATAATAACTGACACGACAAACACATAAATTGTCTGCAACAATGATTACACCACGTATTGAATTTAGGACGTTCAGGTCCAACAGCGAACGCTTTACTATTAGAACCATCAGGTCAATGAACGAAGGTACAATTCCAATTTCAATCGAATTGCGATATAGAGTGACCATCATCTAACACCATTAGTGATAGACATTTTAGGTCAAGGTCGTAAGTGAGCTCTGCTAAAGAGTCTTACGTTAAGATTCAACGGATGTCTAATGTGTTTCCTGGTTTTAAATAGTATCAAAACTAAGATCAATCCATGACGAACACAACTAATAAACTAAACTGATCCCCGATAAAATCGCTTCAACTAGAGGCTGAATATTTTTTATTTATGGAACTATACAATCAACTAGTTGATTACAACTGAAATACCTCTTTACATGGTTCCGCTAATTTTATTTGAACACGTAGATATTGGTACAAGAAGGCACCGAATACATATGCGACACATAAATCATTCGACGTGTATGAGGGCTGTGATACTGCCCGGGTGCCTAAACCGAAACAGGTGGTTTTCTTAGAGGGCCACACCCGGAGCCTTCGACCTGAAGGTCTGATCCACAAGGCAGTGGAGCGACGTAAGGAGATACAATCCCATGGTAGCCAGTGGTCAATAATTGGTTCATACGTCATTTTTTCCCTCAAGATACTGGAGCCCATGTGCACCATTGGTTTGGAATCAAGGTTTTCCAACTCCTCTGCTGCTGACCGTTAGATCAAGACAAAAAAAGAAACAAAACTACTACAACAAAAAAACACAATAGGAAACTAACTCTTTGAATGTATTCCAAAATTCTTGTCGACTTTTTTTATTTGTAGTTAATAACCATGAATTTGATTTGTTAATACGATTATTTCTAATAATTTCATCTTCTATGAGATGACGATCATCATCACCATCATCATCATGATTATCATCCATATCGTCATATGAATACGGATTACCAATACGAGAATTCAATTGATACTTATTTGATGTAGGTTTTTTTAATTGATTCGATTTCTTTAAATCAGTTAATGGATATATTAATGGAGTAGTTTGTTTATAAGCGATAAAATTCCCATGATCCATTTGTGGTAATGATGATTGTGATTGGGTGAATGATGATGATGATGATGGTTGACGATGATGAATTGATTCGAATATGTTATTATCAACCAAATTATTATTATGATGATCATCATCATGATGAGGAATTAATGAAGATGATTCAGAATTCGTTTGAATATCATCCATATTAACATATTCATTTGCTAATGCTTTATAATGATCCATTTGATTAGAATAATTAGATGGAATAGATTTTTTATTGAATTCATTATTTGTATTTAATAATGGAAGACATGAATTCATTAATTGTATCATTAAATCAAGTTGTTGTAATCGTTGAACATGTTCATCATGATCAACAGTTGGATTAGTTGTAGTACCATGTAACAACTTAGTTTTATGATATGGTAAAACACCATGGTAATTATTAAATATTTCCAAAGCAGTCTACAAATTAACAAGAATGGAAAAAGTTGTCATTCAACAAAATATTGTACAGGAATAGACTGTAAACATTTGAATATAAGATTGTAGGTCAGTCAGCTACAATGTAGGACCAAGTACATATTATGCATCGGTCCAAGTTGCCATACCTCATTACCACAACAAGATAAACACCAAATTCATAGAAGTAGTCACTTCAATGGTAATAATATAAAAAAGAAAGATGCCATAAAAGGATATAGTACGGGAAGAAAGAATTAGCTCGTACAAAGAAAGATATGATGAAGCGATTTTAAGCTCGTAGTTTAAAGGAAGACAAAGAGTGTAAACACCTACACCATTGTGATCGATTCTGAGCCATGTCACACATAGTCTCAAACCATTGATTATGATAGTAACCTGGACGCCAACCAAGTAGAATGCATCTAACAACATGGATCAGAGTAGAAGTTAGTGACTTCAAGCACTGATGCCACGTTTTGGTTTGGCCGCCCCTAACTAATTCAAAAACTGTTTTGATATACATTTATTGAGAGTGGTGATAATTGATGTTTTTCATTGATTTATTTGTCTAAAAACATAAAAATTGATACAAAGAGGTATCAAATACATACGCGCCAAACAGTTATCATTGATTTGTGTATGGGCTGTGATACTGCCCAAACCGAAATAGGTGGTTTTCTAAAGGGGCCACACAAGGAGCCTTCGACCTAAAGGTCTAATGCACAAGGCAGTGGAGCAACGTTAGAAGATGCTGTTTCATGGTAGTCAGTGACCAACAGTAGGTTCGAACTCCATTTGTTCCTTCAGCATCCTGCAGCCCATGTGCACCTTTGGCTTGGAATTAAGGTTTTCCAACTCCCCTAGGTGCATCCCTCATATCCACCAACCTGATTTAAAAGCCAAATATTCACTTTCCTTCCTCTTAGTTTCGTAAATAACACCCTTGCCGCGAGAAAACAGTGACTAGTACTTCCTCGGCAATGGTTGTGTATGTGTGGTCATGTGAGAGTATTTTTCGGCGGAGAGCGAACTCTCCCTACCCTCGGTCATATCAAGGCATTTAGAGGCTTTAAAGGTCAATATTAGGTAAAAAAAAATATTAAACTATATTAAATTTCGGATACACTAGATTTGCCCATCAATTTTGAATTATAAAAGATGTACCCAAGTGTATACATACTTATGTACACAGATACGGAAACACAATTGAAATTACAGATACTAACCTGATATTGTGAACGTGCAATTAAACAATGAAATAATAAATTCTGTTGTCCAGTTTTTTCATAATATTCAAATAATACTTTTGCTTCCCAACTATTTAAACCTAAACTAATCAAATCACTTAAACGACCAGCTAAATAAATCAAGAAAGAAAAATCAAGGAAACAAAGAGATAAAATCGATTAATGCAGTAAACATCTAAGGAGTACAAATAGAATTTCATAGTTTAAACCAAGAACATATCTTAGTTAAATAATCATTAAAAACTAGGTAACTGTTTCATTGTAGTAATACAGGATTTCTCAGCAGTGAGTACCCATGACCTCATTGAGGACCAAACCCAAGACTTTCGGGTCTCATGAAGAGCGCTAAACATTTAGACTACTGACTTGACATTTGGTGGTTGATGCGTGATATAGACTACAGAACTTAGGAATCCCCGCAAACTCCCTTATGTTGAGAAACAATATGACGTTGATTCGAAATAACACGCAAAAAAAGCCTATCATTCCTGAATTATTATACGTGAAGATCTATATGTTTTTTACTATTGATATTCATATTTTGCATCTAATCGGTTTCTGTTAGTATAATAGGCTTGTTAAATGAAAATATTGAGTTAGTGATTATCATAACTCTGTAATCTAGATTATAAGTCTCTGAAGTTTGAAGTAATAGGTACAGCATTAGAGTAGTAATGTGGACGTCAACGGGTATTCACTTAACGAGTCCTACGCGTGTTTTGGACTTCAATCCTAGTTACTAACCAAAACTTAATCAGAAAACATTTAAAACTGAAATAATTTATACACATTACATTATTGTCAGATAAGAAACGTTTCGATATCAACCTAGATATCATCATCAACGAAATTAACAGACATGATAACTGGTATTATGTTTCATTAAACAAAAATGACAATATAAATCCACTTGATATTGCACAAGCAAGTGGCTATCACGACTCAGTAGCTAAATGGATAACGCAATAGTGTTCGGAGCGAACAGTTCAGGATTCAAATCCCGGAGTGAACATCAACTCTCTGAGATGCAAGTACATCCAGCTGACGAAACGCGTATCCTGGATCCCACTATCCATCTTTACTTATAAACATCATCTCACCTTGTCTACATATTTCAGCTAATTGAATTAAAGAATTACGAGCTAATTTATCAATAGAATTCAATACTTTCGTTGGTAAAGGTGTTTGATTGTGTAAACGATTCATTTTATGAATTAAATTACGTAATTTTGATAAAGCCAAATATGGAGCACCAATAGGTTTCATGTTTAATTTATGATCACTATTATTATTCATAATAGTAGAATTAGTAGTAGTAGTAGTAGTAGTAATCTTATTGAATAACTGTTGAAATGACAGTTGTACTTTCAAGTTGTTTGGATTGTAATTCAATAATGAAGAATTGTTATTATTATAATTGGTTAAATGTTTCAGTAATTCATGTATTAAATCTCCTTGACCATATTTCTTGAATAAATGTATGATTAAATTAGTTTGATTCGGAAAAAGATCGTTATGGATTTGATAGTATGATGATATTGATGATTGTGTTTCAGTAGAGTTCATAATGAAAGATATAATATCCGAGGATATGGACTCCTGGAATTAAGAATGGGAAAAAAATGGATTTCTTTAAAAACAGAAGTGTATTATGTATTAGGTTATTTCAAACAATACAAATACAAGATGATAATAATATTGGAATCATTCGAAGTGTATGATTTAACTGTTCCACATGAAATCATCTTTACCCAGTACAAATTAATCTTGAATGTTACTAGAGGTATGATGGTGGTTATCACTCACAGATTGTTCACAATGTGAAATGATGCACCTTCTTGAAGGAAGTGAAAAAGAAATCGGGTTAGGATTGGTCTTAACAACCTGGGAATGTGACTGCAGAACCAAAAGAACAACTGCTCAAAGGCAGTCAAATAGTGTCTTCTTTATGAGTAGTGTTAGTGATGTGTCAGCTCTGTACTTTCTAAACTTTACCATGAACGATGGAAACCTGTAGGACAATGTGAGGTATGCTATACTTTTAGGGCCGACCTTTCTTTACCTTCCCCTTTTAATGTGAAAAGGCAAGATCAATGAAAATGCCAAATGTGTGAGAGAAACACCTTAGTGATGTTATACTCGTGTAAAGTGAGATAAAAAGACTTCATTCTCTGAACTTAGGTTTATTACTTTTAGTCTTACTACCCTGCAATTGACCAATCTACCATAGTGTGTTTGAAAGTGATTACCTTCATAGGTCTATTCGCTATATTTTTCTTCCGATACTTCGAAATAAAAGATAGTTTAGGTAGAATTAACAAATAATGATGTATGAAATGATATCTGGGATCCATTCAGTCATTCTAATTTCAGACGTCAATTGCAACAGAAACATTGATCAAAACGTTTACAGGGGTTGAGACAAAATAACCAATATAATCAAAATAATGACTACTGATGCGAATTCGTTCACTTAGTATGGGGGTTACACATTAATTGAGGTTACTAAAAACAAAAGAGTCTATAACATCAAAATTAAGTGTACAGTATTGAAAAATCTGTATATACTATTGACTGTTGGCTTTGAATAGACAATACATTCTATCATAAAACAACTAAACTGTTCAATGATAAGATAAGCTTGTACTAATAAGTTAGTATGCAGTTGTGCGAATGATACATAACACGAGCTAACATACAAGTGGATTGTGAGAGTACTAGGAATAGTGTCAAACGAAGGTATAACATTTGCCAGTGAAGTTATCTATAACTGAACGAAGCTCTGTTAGTAATTTTGAATTTCTTGATAAGAATATGCATGATAATCGCATTTTATGTAAATAGAAACGCTGGATGAAATGGACTGAAATTTCTCGCAATCATAGTTATAATTATTTTTTTTGATTGATATCATGAATGGATCAATATTAGACCACCACTGAAAACTGGACGGCCGTCTCGTCCCAGTATGGGATTCCCCAGTAGTGCGTATCTACGATCCCACACGCGGGATTCGAACCCAAGACCTTCGGTCTCACGCGTGGTTAACCCCTAGACCACTGTGAGCCGACATTCAACGGTGTTAATGTCTAACTTGAACCAATCCACAATATTGTGCGACCGTCCAGAATTGTCTTTGGTGAATATTTGCCTCACAACAGACACAGTTGAACTTTGCTGATCACGACTTCTCACTAGAACTCCAGGAAATCTGTCTTGAAGTCAGTTACTAGTGAGCCGTCCAGTGCTTTCAGGTTTTGAATGATAGTCTAACATTGATCCGATCATGATATCAATCTAAACTAAACTATCTCTACAACCCTATACTGATATCCTTCATTTATCAATAAATCTTCAGTTTCATATAGTTCATAACGTTTCATTTATTAATGGTATTTTTCGTTTACTCCATTTTTTATATTTTTACCTTACCATTTCAATGGATGTTTTTAAGTCAATTCTACTACTTTTTCATGTGTTCATTTCCTCTCAACGTCTTGATTTAGCAATGTGACAATTCCAGTCAATAAACATCCGTATCAGATTCTACGTTGTTTATGCTTAATTATCTCGAAGAACGGGACTAGTATAAGATTCTATCTGTATTACTAGTTGGTTGATTCATATTCAAGGTCTTTAATGAAAACCTATTTACCTGCAATAGTCACTAGTATTAGGTACTTGTCGACATAACCAATATACACATACACCTTATGACTATCTACTCTTTTAAAAAAAAATAAGAACTTTAAATTAACTCATTCAGTGGGTAAATAAACATGAGCCATACTTAGTTCAAAACCGAAGTAGGTGTAGTCCCCAAACGCCCTAGAACAGCCAAAAGTGGGGAGAGTCAACTCTCTCTCTCCAAATCCTCTCATATGCCACGTGCATACAACCACTTCCAGGGATAGTCCTTACTCATTGCTTCTCGCCCAAGGTTTGTTGTGAAGTTGAGAGGACAAAAAGCAAATGTACGACGCCTTAACTGCGTTGGTGAATACACAGGATCCACTTAGGGGAGTTGGAATACCCTGATTTCAGACCAAATCGTAGGACATGGGGTCCCAGGATCTGATTGAGACAAAGTGCGTATGAACCAATTATTGGTCACCGGCTACCATATGACTGCATCTCCTTACGATGCTCCACTGCCTTGTCGATCAGATCTTTATGTCGAAGGCTCTGGGGGTGGCCCGCTAAGAAAACCACCTGTTCCGGTTTGGGCACTCAAGCAGTATCCCAACCCTCACACAAATCGAATGAGGAAGTGTGGAGCATATCCATTTGGTGCTTCATTGTACTAATGTTTATGTGTTTAAATAAATAGTAAATAAATAAACAGAAGCAGAGTAGGTGTACCTCTTATTTGGTGTTTTGTACTATTCTATCTTTAGTTTCAGAAACAAGTGACATTGTTACTATCCAATTAAGAAATATATATATCAAAGTGAATTCGAGATGGTGGAGAAGATTTGTAGCTCAAATGGATGATTTTGATGGAGTTTTGTTCTCTGAGTTGGATGGTTTGGTCGTGGAGTTTCATCGTTCTTCTGAACTTCAAACTTCTATCTGAAGTTATGAAGTTCAGAAGAACAATGGAAGCTCTACGACTAAATCATCTAGCTCAGAGAACAAAACTCCATCAAAGTGCATTCATTTTAGTCCAACTACACTTCATCTTCTAATCGATCTAAGTACACATTAAAGAAAGTCAAGATTACAGGGTAATAATAATAAACACAAAACATACAACAAATATACAAATTAATCATTAATAGATGAATACAATTTTTTTTGTTCTAATTTACTTGAAAATAACCACGATCCATAAGCCAAAGTGTTATAATTGTAGGGATAAGAGAATAAACGAGGAATCGTTTGATAAGAAAGACATTACATAACGACACTATAGAAATTGAAAATATGAAAAAAAATTAAGATGTAAGTTAAACTGTTTGTACAAATTATTTTACATCTAAGAAAAATGAATTCTACCCGATATTTTTTTGCCTTTATTGCATACAAAATCATGTGGTGGCTTATTTGAATACAGTGGTCTTGAGTGCTGTTAGAGGTATAAGGGCGGTTATCACTTCCCAGTTGCCCACATCGTGGAGGTTTTTTTCTGGAGTACTTGAAAGATAATTGGATTACATGTGGTTTTAGTGACCTGAGGGTGTGACGCAGTGCCCAAGCATTCAATGCTTTAGGTCGGTCACATATACTTTTTGTGAGTAAGTTTTTCGTTGCTACTCTGTCCTTGTTGAGACTTGTTGCCGGAGGTGGAATAGCTTGGGATAAGGCGATGTGTGCATTTTAGTTTCGAGTTGTTCTAACCCTACCCCTCCTTGTGGAAGGACATCTTTGCTGTTATGCTGGGTGTCTGAAGAAACCCTACTGCGTCACACCTCTGTTCAGTTCGCAGTACGACTTCGCCTTCGAACTTATTTGTTGCTTTTCTTCTTACCGTTCTTCAACCGACCTATTTTATCATGGTAGGACTTGAGGAATGGATTTTTTCAGCCAGTATGCTCGATTGTTTCTCACGATCGGAAGTCGACTACCGTCAAGTGGTAGCAACAACGGTAGGATAGATTTCATGACTAATTCTATAGTTTGATTTAGTCATTCCACTATTTGATCCCTTTCTCCTTTTCTATGAGATTTTTCTAATCGACCAAAATCTATTTAAATAGTACTTTACTGTAAAATGTTTTACACTTTTTTTGATGTTATTTGAATTCTTTTGACAGATACCTTAATTGAGCTTGACAATACAACTTCTCTTACTAAAACCAATTTTTCTACTACACAAAAATTACAAAATCCAATGGTTGTTTTAGATCAATTTCATACTAAAGAAACTACTTATCAGTTAATAATAATGATGTTGAAATAAAGAATGATACTACTCCAAAAGTTACAGTAAAATCACGCAAAACACGGTGATGTCAACTTCCTCATCAAAAAATCTCTACTCATTCTTCACAACAATTCAACTGAATCTATTTATTGATCGATTTTAGATCGTCTTCATCAGAAGATAATTATCATATTATCATTCATTCCATATCGTACCAATGTTATGGATGATAATGATGATAATTATCTGTAACAAGTTCTATGATGATTCATCAGAAACTGTACGTCGATAAACTAGACTTGTTAGACACCGAACGGTATGATTCTTCAGCTGTTTAGTAATCACTTATACTATACATTGTAATCATATACTATGAAACTTGGGGTTTTTTTTTGGGGGGGATCTTTGTAAAGAAAAGTAAGGACAATATTGTTTTTGTGAAGTTTTGTTTTAACGTCAATGTTTAAGGGGAACATATATTGATTTGTTTGTGACCTTATGTGTTGTTGATATGTAATCATAATTCATACGGAACATGTTTAAATTGGATAGAAGTGTATTGTACTGTGCATTTTCGGTTGTAACAGTGTAATTTTTGTTTGTTTTTTAATTTAAAATGAATTTTATTCTTAAGAAAATTGTTTATGAAATGGATTAGACTGTTGATTGCTTGTCTATTGTGATTAGTTGTTGATTTCATGAAAATCAGTTATGATCCGATCCTTGTGTATTCTCTTTGTGGAACCAGCTATGTTAGTGGTTTGTAACGGTCTATCAAATAAACGACGGGTTTATTGAGCAGCAATTCATTCTGTCCTACTTTATGGCAGTGAAAATATAGCCGGTAAGAGTAGATGTTCGTAGGCTACTAGTATTCGATCATAGATGTCTTCGAAACATTGCTCGTATATCCTGGGACCACCGAGTACGTAATGTAGTTGTTAAGAAACGGATACTAGGTAAGGATGACAAATCAATTGGTGAAGTAGTGAAACTTCATCTGTATTCATCTTGCTGTGCTAATAATGTATGGCAACTTGGACCGAAAATATATGTGCGTGGCCCTACGTTGTAGCTGACTGACTGGTGGCTTACTTAAAACAATTCCATCTTGTAGATAACTATCAGTCAATCATCATTTACCGATCGGTGTTATAGTCATTATTCTAACATTATTTCAACTTCAATAAGGTATCTTCAATATTAATGATATCAATCCTGTTACCATTGAATAAATCTAAAGATACTGGGTTGAACTTGATTTAAGACTGAAGGTATACACCGTTAAAGAATTTTAAACAAAAGCGAAACGGCTAATTTTACAAAGGTTTTATGAATGATGTCTATATGTGACGATACAAGATGAAATTAGCCATATTAACATGACTACTGGCAAAACAAGACAGCTATTAATAAAATTCTAGACTAATGAATACTTAGATAATCAACTGGAAAATCAATAAAATCTATAAGAAACTAGACAATAGTTCCACTCTATTGAGTCCCATACAAAGTTAAATACCAAAGGTTCATAGATAAACTACATTGATCAAATCACTCGATATGATTGATGTTTTCTCTAATTTTCCTCAATAAGTTAATAACTGGGCATTAGGGATGTCTAAAATTGAAATTATTTTGTCTTCATACCTGCACCATATTCTGTTTTTTATAGATCCTATGTTTAATCCCAGGTAGAGGATTGGGTGATACGTGTGTAGATACAGACTACTTGGTTGGAGTCCGTGCGACCATCGTAACCAATGGTTGGAGACTCTGGGCAACATGGCTCAGAATCGATCACAATGGCGTAGGTGTTTACACTCTTTGTCTTCCCTTAAACTATGAGATCGAAATTGCTTCATATCTTTCTTTCTTCCTGTACTATATCCTTATACGGCATCTTTCTTTTTTATATTACCACTATTGAAGTGTTCTCCCAAATTCTAATCTTCTAAATTCTTCATGTTTCTTCTTTTCCCTTTTCAAGTTTATTTCACTGGATTATACTCTTTGAATAACATCTTCAAACCCTAATGTTTCCGATTACTGTTTATACTCTTACCACCTCTACCAGTACGGGATTGGAATCGACAACTGCATCTCTGTGCTAAGGTGGTGCGACAACTCGAACTGATGTACATACGTACGAAGTTCTACATTCTTACTGACTGACTGACTACTTCTACGAATTTGGTGTTTATCTTGTTGTACTAATGCGGTATGGCAACTTGGACCGATGCATATATGTGTCTGGTCCTACGTTGTAGCTGACTGACTGACTGATAGGTGTGTAATTCAGCCAAATATCATATCATGTTAAATAAAGAAACTAATTTATCACACCTACCAGTTGTAATGCACGTAAACTACTGGAATTTGTAGATTTGATATTATTAATCATTTGAGTAGTTTGAGTCTTCTCATTGCTACTAACATTATTATTACTATTATTATTAATATCAGTATTATCTTCATCTATAGGACCATTATAATGTTCATCATAATTTGATTGATGAAATAATGTTTCAGCTGCTGAATCACATAATATAAATCCAAGTATAATTAATCGTGATTTTTTAATTTGTCGATTATATGGCAATTGCCATAAAGCACATAATGATTGTAAATTATTCGGTGGATAATTTAACCAATTTGGTAATTCATTATTATCTAATGAATTTGTTGGTTTCAATGTAGCTGATGATGACGTTGATGATGATGATGATGATGATGTTAAGTGTTCTTGTTCCTTCCAGATATCATGAACTTCACTATTAGTCAAGTAATTATCAAATGTATGATTACTATTATTGAGATGCTTTGATGGTGCTTGAAGTGAAGAATAAAGAATATGGTCACTAATAGATGTTAATCGATTAGTGTTACAGTCATTATTATCATTATTATCAAAATCAACAGGATGGTGCCGTGTACATCGTAATTCAGAAATTGTTTCAGTTAGCATTGATGAATTGTACGGTAAGAGAACTGTACTATTGATTCGATAAGATGAATCTGTAAAGAATTTACTGAAATGAAAATCATTAAAAAAACATTAACTTCAAGTATACCACTGATATAGACTGTAAGATTGTTTAAAGAGCGATATATATGGAAGATATCAGTTGGTGTTCTCATTGTCATTCGTGGTGTTACGAGGATTTAAATAAAGAGAAACATGAAATTTAAATAAGTATACTTTAGTAAAGTGGTTATTAAATGATTGACAAGCATTATTTAAATGAAGATCATACAATTTCCTGCAGCAGTAGGGAAAGATAGTATTTAGGTGGAGTTCTGTTCTCTGAACTGGATAGTTTTCATTCTTAGTCAGAATAACATCATCAGTAGCACAAACTTCAGATGGAAGTGAGGTGTTTGAATTTCTCCACATGTGACTCATAGCTTGTTCTGTCGACCTCGATCTTGATTGGTTATTGGTTGACAGAATAAGCTATGAGTCACATGTGGAGAAATTCAAACACCTCACTTCCATCTGAAGTTTATGCTGATGGTGTTATTCAGAAGAACAATGAAAGCTCTAAGATCAAAATGTCCAGCTTAGAGAACAAAACTCCACCCGAGCTACAAAATGTCTACACCATCTCGGAAAAAATGGTATCCTAGTCAATAATTATCACCAATATTTATTGATTTCTCTTTTAAATATCTGTTATAGAAATCGGTAACTTTTCAAAGATCATGACGCGAACCACTGTACCTTATAAATGGTCGTGACACAACCTTTGATAATGAAAAAAAAGGGGTGTTATGAACAGAAGAATACAAGACAAACTTCAAAAGTTACCTAATTTTTAATCAGTAATTATTAACATTTCATTTATATGACTTTCTTATTGTCTTAATCATTTAACTATTGGCATATATTATTCCATTACGAATTTCTTATACCAGAAAGTTTTTCATCTTGTCAACTTTCGTAAAGAACTTGAAAATATTTCCCGGTCAAAAGTTCATTTACTTTTCAAAATTAGTAGGAACTAAGACGGGGAGTAGTAAGTTGTCTATATCTGATGTTCAAAGTAGTCTGAGTGCTAGGAGCTATGACAATTACTTACCCTATTTATCAAGCTATATAAATGTAGATACAAATAGTTGATTGATTTATTTAAACACACAAATATTGGTACAGAGGGACACCAAGCACATATGCGCCACACAAGTTCGTTGGTGTGTGAGTTATGATACTTATCGGGTGCCCGAACCGAAACAAATGGTTTTCTGAGGAGGTCACACTTGGAACCTTCGACCTGAAGATCTGATCGACAAGGCAGGGGAGCATCGTAAAGAGATGTAGTCCCATAGTAGCCAGTGACCAACAATTTGTTCATATGCCATTTGTTCCTTCAGGATCGTGGAGCATATATGCATCATTGGTTTGGAATCAGGGTATTCCAACTCCCCTACGTGGATCCTCTATATCTAATAACCCGGTTAAAGTGCCAGACATTCGCTTTTCGTCCTCTCAGATAGTATAAATTAATGTTTAGATTTCTATCGGCCTAAAAACAATTAGGCATTCTAGTGCATGTTTATTTAACATAAAACTAGATTGGATACTCTGTTGGCCAGACGCTATCAACAACAACCTACTATGGGAGAGAACAAATCAGATCCCAGCGGAGGAAGAAATCAGGAAGAAACGCTAGAAGTGGATAGGACGCACATTGAGGAAAGCACCCAAATGCATCGCAAGGTCAAGGCCAAAGGAAAAGAGGAAGATCAAAGAACATATTACACCGAGAAATGGAAACAGACATGAAAAAAATGAACAAAAATTGAACAGAACTAAAAAAGAAGGCCCAGGACAGAATGGTTTGAAGTATGCTGGTCAGAGGCCTATGTTCCATTGGGAGTAACAGGAGAAAGTAAATAACTAAATAAGATTGAATACACATTGACAAATAACAATCCAATAGGTGTTATCATAGTACTGAACTATTGAAAATACAATGAAACATAAAAAAAAAATAAAAACCAAAACTAACTTATCATTGAATCTTTCATTTGTTTGTGGTAATAAACCTAAACGAAATAGAAACACTACAAGTTTTGCATAGGATAAATATGTTTTAATACTGAATTCTATAGGATGTTGTCCTGAAATTAACGACAATTTTGTTGATAAATGAAATCGTCTAGGACTATTCATAATAGAATTGTGATTTTTCCCAATGAACCAATGTTTTGCCAATGTTGCTAATAGTTGAATCTAAATAAATATATAAGATATATAGATAAGTATAAAAGTGAATATTTTACAAATCATAAGTATGTACTAATTAGTCAGTAAGTATATCAGTAATAATAACTAATGATTTATTCATTATTTTATTTGAACACATAAATGTTGGTACAAGAGGGCACCAAATACATATGCGCCACACTTTGTGTGAGGGCTGTGATACTGCCAGGGTGCCCAGACCGAAGCAGGTGGTTTTCTTAGGGGGCCACTCCCCGAGCCTTTGACCTAAAGGTCTAACCCACAAGGCAGTGGAGCATCGTGAGGAGATGGAGTTTCATGTGCACCATTAGTTTCGGACCCGGTTAAAGCGCCGGACACTCTATCTGATTCTTGATGACATTTGCAGTATATTGTTTAAAATAAAAGTAATCAAAACCAATATTTCACATATATTTGTAAGCAAAAAAAGAGGAACATTAAAAAGTGGTCATTTCGCGCCTTTAAACATTAATTATTATACCGATTTCATGTTGATTACTAAGTTACTGTTATAACTTGTGGCCTATGTGCCCTGTTAATGCATACATAACGATAACGCCAATTAGAGAACAGTGAATTATCGATCGGACCAATGACGTATAAAACCTATACGAGCAGTCTAGAGTACTTATCGGTCCTGCTTCGTGCTTAGCCCAGTCAGTCTCTGCAGTATGAATCATGTATTTCAAACATACTGAGGTTTATATACCAACCAAACAGATCACATCGTACCAGAAAATAGGAAACAACACTTGTACAAGAATTAGCCAAATGTGGCTCTGAATATGGGAGATAGTAATTGATAGACTGGGCACAAGTCAAGAATGGTAAGTCGTAAAACAATAGTTCATAGTTCAAAATAAAGCTCATAATAAAAGGGATATGAATATGAATAGTTTAGTTATTTAACAATTATACGATAAAAACATGCGCATAGTATTGGTCCATAAATGGAGCCCAAAAGTTACCATTCATTATTCTTATGGGGACATAACAGTTACTCATAATTATTTATTTGTTTTATTTCATACACTAAACTTTGATGTTTAAGAAAGTATGAATCAGTTAAAATACGTCAATCAATAAGTTAAGATGAGGACGAATGCTGCTACAGGTATTTGAATGGACGAAACTTACCAGTAGTCAATACCATGGAGGACTATTTTTCGAGGGATATGAAAAGTAAATTCGATGTGCAGTGAAGGCCTTGTCAGTCTGGGACTCTAATCACAGAATCACTCATAGGACAGGATGATGAATGCTATTAAATGAGACAGTTTTTCAATCCTTCTATCAGTTGTATGAAAAAATAGTTTCATTGATGATGGTTATCCGTGGGAGCCACTTAGTCATCATACTTCAGTAAAAGAAGCAGTTCGACTTAGCCCTCAAACCAACTTACCTGACACTATGAGAACCTACTGATAGAATGAATCAGATAATTTTATTACGTAAAACATACCCAGATTGTATTTATTCCGCTGGAGATCAAAGTCGGTAAGGAAAGCATGTTCTTTTGGAACAATCGTAAGAGGGTATAATAAAATTTACTACTTTGGATATTAAGCGATTCTAAATAGAGACGTCTTTGTATCTGAGTTGATATATATATATATATATATATATATATATATATATATATATATGTTATAATTAGTTCAACGAAAAATATTTATCTCCCTACCATGGAAACAATAATGTCCTATAGTAACAAGAAGCGCAAACCCCAATGTTATTGTAGTCACAGGAAAATTTGAGTGTATAAAGATGGAATGTAATGATTTAAGCTGTTTACTAATCAAATCCAATAAAACTTTGAGTCGATGGGGAAATCATCTACTAAGAAAGCTTAGAAAATCATTCAATAACAACATAAATTAATGCTAGTTTTTTTGTTTCCAACCTATTCCTACTGTAGCCGATAGTATGCATCAAAGTTAGAAATGGTAGTGCAAACCTATTACATTCCTCAGCTAACTTAATTGATCAAGAATCACAGTCAATAAGTAAGTTTTATTGAGTATTATAACTCTAAACCTTCACGCTACTCACTAAATTGTTCTTAGGGTATCTTACAATAATTTTACAAAATACTCAGAATAGAGAGAACAAAGCACCTGTTATCCGTTTTAGTGCTTTTTATTATATATTTGATAGTATATGGTTGTATGTTTACTTCAATTGTATCAGGAGGGGTTGTGTGGAGGTTGTAGTGGATTAGTTGAAGTTAGACATTAACACCGTTGGATGCCGGCTCGGTGGTCTAGTTGGTTAAGCGCCTGGCGCGAGACTGATAGGCCCTGGGTTCGAATCCCGCGAGGCGAGGTCGTGGATGCGCGCTGCTGGGGAGTCCCGCAATAGGACGAGACGGCCGTCCAGTGCTTCCAGGTTTTCCATGATGGTCTAGCTTCAATTGACTCATGATCTCAACTGTTGGAATTACTTCAATTGTATTGTTTAATACATACTTATCTGGTTTATTATTTTGCATTTATTTAATGAGTATATAAAATTAATTGTTTTGTCATTTCTTTGCACGATTATTATTTAACATCGTTGTAGCCTTAGAATACGCGGATGGCATAGTCCTAAATGATGAAAGCGCTGACAAGATCTAAATTCAACCTATCTAATTGAGCAACACTCCAAGCATATTCGGGATGTTTCCTCCTCCTAAATGAAAAGTGTTGTTTTAGGACTAGCCTGCGTCAGTGTCCGAATTAATTATAGGGAGTGAAGTAGGTGAGTATATTGATCAATTCATTTATCATGGGGGTCTCATCAGCCTTCATGGGTTGGCATCTGACGAGAACTCGGCACGGATTCAGAAACGTCGGTTGATTGGCATCAGTCAACTTACCTCACCTCTGAAGTAGACGAGATTTTCGCTTGCTATTTAAAATACAGGTATACTGTAAAGCAGTTCGCTTCGTTATACGTTATAGCTGTAAACTGAGACCTGTAAAAAATATAGGATATTCGTAGCGTACTAGTATTTAGTTATAGGCTGTATCCAAGCACTGCCTCAATACGTTAGGACCCCCAAGTGAGCAGTAATGAGGCTAGACGCAGAGTACTAAGTAAGAATGGTACATTAGTTGACAAGGTAGTGAATCTTTATCGACTGAAGTGGTTGGTGCACGTATTAAGTACCCCCAACCACTACCTAGCTAGATTCACAATGTTGGCTGATATACGAGTAGGTTAGAAGAAGATTACGAAGGCACAAACGAAAATGTGACACTACTAATGATCCGAGTGATGTAGGTCGATGAAGACTATCTGGTTGCCGTCTTCTCGAAAATCCCAACCAATGACTAGAAATTATGGGTGAAACGGTTCAGAATCGTCTGCAGTGGCACAGGTGCATTAATTATTTGCCTTCCCTCAGATTCTAATTTTCCTTATTACGTCAAAATAAAGTTCTTTGTTACCCGAATACATACTTTCTTTGTGAATGTTATATCTTATCCCTAGTCTTTTTCATTACCGTTGATACTGTTTATTATTTATACTACTGTGGTATCTCGCTATACTGATGTAGCGTGGAAACTTAACCCGGTGTATATATACATCGGGTTCTACAATGTGTATGACTGACTGACTGACTTGTGTCCAATTTCTTGGTGTTCTAACTACTGTGATAAGAAATATACAATTAAATAAAATAACCTACTTGATTAATCGTACAGCCCAACTCTAAAAGATCAGGTATTCTTGAATGACTATGATCTGTTGAATTCGATAAAACTGATTCCACTTCATTTGATGACTTTGGCATAAATAGTACACTTGTCAATTTGTCGAAACGAGATTTCAATCTACAAAATCGTAGCCATATCCAACTATATTTGAAATTTATATTGATTGGGGAATCTTGTCCAAGTGGAGATAAATTTTCCAAATTCTTAAGTGGGAGAAAGTATTTAATGGATATAAATAAAAAGGTTAAAAGAAAATGGAATAAATAATCTCACTGTTATAACCAGGTGTCAAGTTATGTAACTCGGATGAATAACGAACGGGTGTAAAGAAACGCAAAATAACCTTCAATTGAACTTCAGCTATTCTCCTAAGCATTATTGATCTAGCCCCTTAACAACTGGGGAAAAGAAAGGACGCAGAAATTTTTTCCACCACTCCAAATGACGATGATACGATGACATATATATCACTGATAATTGGTGACAAGAACGATTGTCTACGGGGGTTTCCGATTTCCTTACGATATTTGCGAATTAAAGGACGATGAAGTTATTTTATTAAAGATAGCTCTATTGAGAATTCGATAACAGCGGTTGCTATACAACACTTTAACAATTAGTCGCTAGCACAGGAAGATAAAGTGCAAGGGAAACTTCATATTTGAGCAGAACAAATTAAAATGGTAGAGCTCACTAGATACAGTACGAAAGCATGACCATGAAGCATAACGATAATTAATGAACTAAGAGTAGTGGGAACGAATCAGAAAATAGCAAAGATTATATGAAAAGATGAATTAGAAAAAAAAGCGATTGTAGTAACCGTTACCAGCATGACTTTAGTATTTCTAAAAGAACACTAAGTAATTCCATAATCGCCTTAACAACAACACACACCGACAAACGATTCCAATGAGTTTTTCTTTGTTGGTGTTTAGAGAGGAAGGTGCCCCCTGAATGCCCTGGTACGGCCGAGAGTGGGGAGAGTCCGCTCACCCTCTCGAAATACTCTCACACGGCCACGCGTATACAGCCTCTGCCAGGGAAGTCCTACTCATTGCCTTCTCGTGGCGGGGGTGTTGTTTACGAAAATGAGAGGACGAAAAGCGAATGTCCGGCGCTTTAACCGGATTCCAAACCAATGGTGCACATGGGTTGGCTCCAGTATCCTGCGGGAACAAATGGCGTATGAACCAATCGTTGGTCACCGGCTACCATGGGACTGCATCTCCTTACGATGCTCCACTGCCTTGTGGGTTAGACCTTTAGGTCAAAGGCTCGGGGAGTGGCCCCCTAAGAAAACCACCTGCTTCGGTTTGGGCACCCGGGCAGTATCACAGCCCACACACAAATTGATGAACTCTTTATGCCTATGGAAATTACCTTTCTCGCTTTGAAAAGCAAACAATTGATTCAGATTATTATCATTACAATTATTGTCATTATTAATACTATTATTATTATTACTACTATTATTGTAATTATTGTTATTATTATTATTATTATTATTATTATTATTATTATTATTATTATTTTCCACATTATTCACCCTCTTTTATACTTATACAGCGGCTCGTCTTTGGTGGAAATTCGACTGTATCTAAACGTTCTCGAGTCACTGTCCGGTTGAAAATTGTATGTTACCACCGAATACGAGGACTGAAGCAGTTTTTCTGAAACCACGTGCACCATTCAAACTGGCTGCCTTCAACGTTCGCACACTTATGCAGGTCGGACAACAGATAGGGCTGGCTATGTCTTTGGAAAGTCTTAATATTGATGTTTGTTGTCTATCCGAGACCCGTATTCAAGACTCTGGTGAAGTACTACAAATTCGATCTCCATCTGTCGCTTCGAAAAGCTTGTTTTACGTGCGCTTATCCGGGTCCCTTTGGCATCTTCGTCCGGTCTTGCTGGCGTTGGTACTGCACTAAGCGCTAGAGCTGAAGCAGCACTAATCGATTGGATCCCCATTAACAGTCGGTTATGTGCTGTTAGATTAGAAAGTTCCATCAAAGTGAGAAGAAATCGGCGTGAGAAACGATGTCTTTTCGTCATCTCCGCCTATTCCCCGACAGATTGCAGCCCGGATGCAATCAAGGATGAGTTTTACCACCAGTTATCAGTTCTTCTCCAGAAAGTGCGTTCGACAGATATTGTAGTACTAGCCGGAGACTTGAATGCCCAGGTCGGGCGTCTAGGCACAGAAGAGAGTCGTTTAGGTGGCCGATGGGGACTCGTTGGTCGCAGGTCAGATAACGGGGACCGTCTACTGCAACTTTGCACAGACCACAACCTGTTTCTGGCTAGCACTAACTTTCGGCACAGTCATCGCCGATGTGCCACCTGGCGTCCTCCCTCTGCATCTCAAGCCTGGACTCAGATTGATCACATCGCGATGAGCTACCGCTGGCGTGGTTGTGTACAAGACTGCCGCTCCTTTTGGAGTACCTATCTGGACTCTGACCATGCCTTGGTCTGCGCCAATCTTGCCTTACTTTTCAGTGGCCAACGAAGTGACCACCACCAAAACATTGATGTTAGCAAGCTGGTTGCAACTTCTGTTGCAAGTAAGTATCGAACCGAGCTAGCCTCTAGGCTAGCTACCACTCCACCGAAAAGTATAGACGAGCATTGGTTGCAATTGCATGACGCCATGAAAATGGCGGGATCAGTCAGTTGTGGGTTTGCGAAACGTCCCGCTTTTAAGCACTGGGTTTCTCCAGGTTCCTTACAACTCATTGAAGCCCGTCGGTCTACTCCGGGTGACCGTGAGTTTGACCATAAACGAAGGATGTTACGTAAGGAAATTGGGCAAAGCTTGCGTAAGGACCGAGAAGCCTGGTGGTCGATGCGTGCTAATGAGCTGGAAGCAGCAGCTGCATCTGGTAACTACGGGAAGCTCTTCCAGCTCATCCGAGCCACTGGCAGCAAGAAGTCTGGTGTGAGTGAAACAATCTGCGAGGATGATGGGATGCCAATCACTAACATCCATCGACGTCTTGGACGATGGGCAGAATTCTTCGAAGGGCAGTTCGACTGGCCTGCTGCTCCGGCAACATCGGTCAGACTGTCCTGCCCTCCATGGCCGGTGACGACTGATCCACCAAATGAGGAGGAAGTCCGCAAGGAACTCCAACTCTTGAAGCGTTACAAATCACCTGGCCCAGATGACTTACCTCCGGCTCTTTTTAAAGATGATGGTGACTTTATGACTAAGGAATTGACGACGTTGTTTACAAAGGTTTGGGAACTAGAGAGTGTACCAACGTCATGGAATGAGTCGATAGTTGTCCCTATCTTTAAAAAGGGTTCACGTCGTTCCTGTAACAACTATCGGGGGATAAGTTTACTTCCGATTGCGTCCAAGCTATTGGCTTCCGTCATTCTTCGTAGGTTGTTCAAAACCCGAGGAAGATTGACTCGCGAGGAGCAGGCTGGGTTTCGTTCTGGTCGAGGATGTATTGATCATATCTTCACCCTCCGCCTAATGTTAGAACACCGTCATACTTTTCAAAGGCCAACAATCGTAGTGTTTCTTGAAAACAGGTCAGGAATGCCTTCGATTCGTTGGACAGGACTGTTCTCTGGGATTGTCTATTGAAGAAGGGTGTGCCTGAGAAGTTTATTAACATCCTAAAAGCCCTATATAAAAACACCTCAGGCAGAGTGAGGGCATACAACCACCTCTCTCCATTGTTCCATTCGAGCAGTGGGGTTAGGCAGGGTTGCCCAATCTCACCATTCCTCTTCAACTTTGCCATCGATGACATTCTGGAAACAGCTCTGATGGATGTAAGTAATGGTGGTGTGGATCTGTTGCCTGGAGAAAGACTTCTCGACCTTGAGTATGCGGACGATATTGTCTTACTGTGCGATAATGCCCAAGGCATGCAATCCGCACTTAATCAGTTGGCAATCAGTGTCCGTAGGTATGGAATGTACTTCGCACCTTCGAAGTGCAAAGTACTTCTACAAGACTGGCAGGATTCTAATCCTGTACTCACCCTGGATGGTGAGCAGATAGACGTAGTTGAGAAGTTCGTGTATCTGGGTAGCTGCATAAGTGCTGGTGGGGGTGAGTGATGAGATCAATGCACGAATAGTGAAAGCCAGAGCGGCTTATGCCAATCTGGGCCACCTTTGGCGCCTTCGTGATGTTAGTCTGGCTGTAAAAGGTCGGATCTACAACGCGTCGGTGAGAGCAGTTTTGCTCTATGCTTGTGAAACCTGGTCTCTCCGAGTTGAGGACGTTAGACGACTCTCTGTGTTCGATCATCGCTGTCTCCGAAGGATTGCTGACATTCAGTGGCAACACCATGTCAGTAATGCAGAGGTTCGGCATCGTGTGTTCGGTCACAGAGATGATAATTCAATTGGTGTCACCATCTTGAAACACCGACTTCGGTGGCTTGGACATGTTCTACGAATGTCGTCCCAGAGAATTCCACGTCGTGCATTATTTGCCGACTCTGGGACTAGTTGGAAGAAGCGGAGAGGTGGTCAGTGCATGACATGGTGTCGTGGTATGAAAGAAAGCTGCAAAGGACTGGCTTCTGTTGGTCCTTCACGACTCCCTGGTTGGGGTCCGAGAGATGGTGCTACACAGTGGCTAGAGACGTTATCAGATATGGCTCAGAATAGAAGCCAGTGGCGATCCTGCTGTAACCTTCTTTTACTTTCTTCATAAAAAGTGGTTGTGTCTCCTTTACCTGAAAGATTTCTTCTGATTGTACCTTTTCGTTCCGTCGTTACTACCACACTACCTTACTCCAATCTCTTCGTCGTTGTTCTCTTTTTCTTTTGCGCTCCTTAGTTTTTTTTTTCTACTTCTCTTCGAATTCTCATTGTTTTGTGTGGCGCATATATATTGGCGCTCTCTTGTACCAATATTCATGTGTTCAAATAAATAAATAAATAAATAATAAAGAGAGGAAGGTACTTAGTTCAAGCTCATGTGTGAGCATCAATACTGGGATCTAGGTACATCGATCTGATTAGTACCAAATACGAAGAAACGCGCGTTCTAGACTCCAATATCAGTCAGTATCCAACTCAAATATCAATTTGACAGTTTTAAATTGGGATGTATACCAACAGTAAATTTTAAACATCAAATTAATTCCCAACTACTAATATATGAACTCAATAGTATTAAGAGTGTAATGAACGAACACTTAGGCGGCGACAAGCAACTTATTATTTACTATATAATTACAGAGTTCCTTCGCAAATTGTGAAAAACATACATTAGATAATTCATTTGCAAATCTTCCATTAATTGCCTCAATCTTCATCGTTCCTTTATTGCTATGAAAATTACTCTCTGTTCCCATAGTCTTCCATTCAACCTTGCAACTTGATGCTGTCAGGCGTCTCACTTTATGATTGATGTTACATAATGTTGTTAGAGGTCATTAAGAGAAGATACTCGTAAGCTACTAGTATTTGATCACAGATACCTTATAAATATTGCTCGCATCTTCTGGGATCATCGAGTAAGTAATAGTGAGGTTAGACGCAGGGTATTAGGGAAGGATGGTAAGTCAGTCGATGAGGTTGTATATCTTCATCGACTGAGATGGTTGGGTCACATGTTACATATGCCTGAACACCGATTACCACGACGCGCAATGCTGACTAGTGTTGGGGATGGTTGTAAGAAAATTAGGGGTGGTCAAACCAAAAAGTGGTGTCAGTCTTTGAAGTCACCAACTTCTAGTCTTAGCCATGGTAGATGCAGAGTATTTCGTTGGGGTTCGAGTGACTATCTTAATCAATGGTTTGAGACTCTGGGTAACATGGCTCATAATCGATCACAATGACGTCGGTGTATACACTATTTGTCTTTCCTTAAACTATGAGATTGAAATAACTTCATACATTTCTTTCTTATACTTCCTTCCTGTATTATATCCTTATACACGATCTTTCTTTTATATAGCACTACCATTGAAGTGATTACTTCTATGAATTTGGTGTTTATCTTGTTGTGGTAATGAGGTACGGCAAATTCGACCGATGCATATATGTCCCTGATCTTACGTTGTAACTGTTTGACTGGTGTTACCTACTACTTATGCCTGTCAATATAAGTAGCATATACCATAATAATAAGTTAACTAGACAAACTTACCTTTAATACATTAATACAACCATGTTCTAAAAGACAATTAGCTAATAATACCCAACAAGGATCTAAAGAATATTGATATTTCTTTTTAAGTGTTTTTATTCCTTTACTATATAATGATGAATTGACTGATTGATCTATTCGACGATATTTACAATGACGTTTTGATGAAATATAATCATCATCATCATTATGATCATGATCATCATCCACAATAGTATTACTATTGAATTGTTCTGTTGTTAAATTACATAATAATTTATTTAAACTATCAATAATTGATTGATCATAATAATCACCAAGTGTTAAATGAATACCACAATCATTAATAGTAGTAGTAGTATTATCAGTAGTATATTTATTCTTTATTAAAGTAGTATTTTGTGTATAATTTAATAAATTCATAAATTCTTCATCATCATCAAATTGATCTAAACCTGGTGATTCAAGTAGACCATATTTCCATGCATTAGATAACCATTGAATAATATTAAATTTTTTATAATTTAATGATGATTTCTTTATAAATTGATTCAATTCTATAAGACATTCTTCTTGATATGATACAAACATAATTCGACTAAGATGATAGATACAATCATAATACTGATGAGTAGTATTAGTAGTAGTAGTAGTAGTAGTACGATGACGATGTTGTTGTGTCATAGAAAAGTTTAATATATTATTATTACTATAAGATATATCATTAGTCCAAAATATAAGACAATGAAATGATAATGATGATGGACGTAGAAATATTTCAGGAATTGGACGTGGTCTTTTATAATGATGATGATTATTGGTAGAATTTATATTTGAATTTATTAATATAGGATAAGATTGACAATATTGAATTAAATTTGATTCACGTTGAACAATACGACTCCAAAATGACATTAAACTTGATTCAATTAAATAGGTGTGCTATGGGTCAAGAAAACAATCACAAAAAAATAATAATAATAAAATAAAATAAAACGATGAAAATAATAAACTAGAAGTTTTACTTAAGTAGAATAGTAGTTGTCAGTGTGTTTCATCTACTATATGTAACTGTATATCTGTGTTGATATCCATACTGTTGAGTCGACTTTCGGAGAACTTCAACGGAACCTCCAGAGGCCCAAAAAGAGCCCAAGAGTCCTAGCCAATCAGAGCATAATGGAGTATTCTAGAATTCCAATGTGGCGTGCTACTATTAGTCAGTAGCATAATATGTCGTTAACGGATTGGCTGAAATATGATGCTGATTTAACAAACGTTAACCACTATAGATACCCATGTTTTCTGCACAAAAACGAACCTTGGAGTAAAGTGTTTCTCAGATACTTGCGTCCTCTTGCTGGTGTTCAGGTCGCTGTATAGTTCTAGCGTACAGGTTATCAGAATAGCTTAGAAACGAATATAGCGTCCAAATCAGCAAGACTTAATACATAAAAAGACTCGAACCTAGAAAATTTCGTTCATAACGCCAACGCGTTGTTCACTGAGCTAATGAGTTCAAATAAACCTTAACTTGTACAAATCCTTATAAATATTGACTGAGAGATTTTTTATGAAAGTTAGTTTTTATCATAAATTGATAACAACAATGGCAATCAGTAAAAATCAGGAGATAAAGGACAGTTATTTCGTATACACTGTTAAGAAATTACACAGTAGAACTACACCACTTCATAGTTCTCATAGACCAGATGAATAAGGAGCATACAACATATTTCGCCCAAATGCCCTGGTACAGCTGAGAATGAGGAGAGTCTCCTCTCCCTCTCCAAATACTCTCATATGGCCACGTGCATACAACCACTGCCATAGAACTCCTACTCACTGCCAACTCGCCACTGGGGTATTATTTATCAACTTGAGAGGACGAAAAGCGAATGTACAGCACTCTAACCGAGTTGGTGGACACAGAGTCCATCTAGGGGAGTTGGAATACCCTGATTCCAAGCTAATGGTGCACATCGGCACCACGATCCTGAAGGAATAAATGGTGTATGAAACATTTACTGGTCACTGGCTACCATGGGACTGGATCTCCCGACGATGCCCCACTGCCTTGTAGATCAGACCTTTATGTCGAAGGCTCTGTGCGTGGTCCTCTGAAATAAAAATCCACCCGATTCGATTTGGGCACTCAAGCAGTATCTTAGCCCTCACACAAACTGAATGATTTATGTGGTGCATATCTATTTGGTGCCTCCTTGTACCAATGTTTATGTGTTTAGATAAATAAATGTTGAGTTTTGATTGAGATCACGAAATGATCCATGTTAGACCGCTATTGAAAACCTGGAAGCACTGGGCAGCAGTTAAGTCCTAGTATGTGACTCCTCAGCAGTGCGTATACACGATCTCACACGTGCGACTCGAACCCAAGACCAGCTTAGTGGTCAAGAAGTTAAGCGTTCGTGTGCGAGACCGAAAGTCCTAGATTCATGTTTGCAGTAAGAAAAAACACATTTTCACTTACCAATAAGTGTACTTTTTGATTTGGAATTAATGCATCAAAAATAGAAACAAACGTGTCATCAGATCTACAATGAGATAAGAAACATGCAGGTTTTTCTCTATAAATAACTATTTCCAAAAATGAACTAAATAATTAACTGATCTATTTATTTAAATAATTGAAATCTCAGAGTAAATAGGACCTAACACAGGATTATTTCGCTCTCTGAGGTGATATTTAGTTTGATTGTGAAACTTTCACGATGAAGCAAACAAAACACCCTCAAAGTCCTCATCTCGAGTAACATATATTCTACACCATTTACATCATAACAAATATAACTCAGAATAGGATAACTTAGTAAACATATGTTTTAACACTTCTGGTGTGTGTGTGTGTAATTTTGATACTAATTCAATGAGCGTACAGGTATTCGGCTCTGAACTACATTGTATGCGAGAGGCAATTATATTACTTGGCTGCCCAAACTGGGACAAATGGATTAGAGTGGGTTAAACTTGCAAAAAGTCAACTGAGTATAATTACGAACTCACTGTTCTATAAGTTCTTTCAAAGATACTGTAGACACTAGTTTAAACAATTTAACTAGGCACATGTGTGTGTGAAGCAAAAGAACTCATTTTGTACCAACTACGATATATTTGTGTTAATATTGAAAAAATAGGTTTACTATTCAACAATCTATTTTGTGCCACTATAGTGTGTGCTACTGATATCGACAGACATAAGTAGTATATATCATCAATTGAAAGTGAAATGCCTGGAGGCAGAAGATTAAGATCGAAGAGGATGAGAAGAGAGTGCTTTGTGTTGAAACGAAGGAACAGTCGTCTGAGACAACTAATCGACATTTTCCAGATGAAGTATTACTGTATGGTTCTCAGATTTTACTAAGAGATTTTGTAACGTTATATTCAAAAACATTTGGTTGTCCCTGCTTGTGTTCACATTCACTACATCACTACCTCAATAATGTTGCAAATTATGACTAGTAGGACAATTATCGATACTTAACCAAAGAACTCATTGGCTTTCACTACGCAGTACAAACAAGAGTGGATATTGATCATGTGAGCATTTAAAATTTCTACACAATGACAGTAAATAAGTAGATGGATTTGGGAATCCTTACCAAGTAAAATCATTGAGGTATGTTACAGTATGATTACCTGGATTCCAAATAAATCACTGGCTTTTAGTTTCAGTAATCAAAAAAAGTGTAAGGCTTTTTTGGACTGGAGGTCCTTAATATGTTGAAAATGGGTGGTCGAAGAATCATGAACAATATGGCACAACAACTATATCAAATCCAATTACGGAACGTATAGTCTATCGTTTATACCATAGTTCAGATTTAAATCAGTTTGTAATATAATGAAACGATCGTTCAATGCTATACGTGATATCCGTTTCTAATGTGTCATGTGTCAAATGGCTACTTTTATTAGGGTATTAGGAAATTCATCGATAAGCCGGTAATCGTCAGTGAGCTCACTACACGATAGAAATTATATTCAAGTCAAACCTGATTTGTTTATTCGACTCATTTTACCAAGAACACATTCCTATACACGGCATTCAGTAACACCCTGGATATGAAGGTTAAGTTATTACTATTCGATCGCTCAAACTGCAGTAGGTGAAGTGATATTTAGTGGCTCGTGGATCTGACTCCATTTAGATCGTATGAATGTTTGTTATCACCTATCCTCGTATACAATCATCGACTTAAACCACGTTAGTCAATAACGGAACTTAGATTAGTCAATTAACGAGAATGGCCTTTCAATACATATATTTTGTATGTAAAGTGAATCAAATAGAACAAAGCAGAATGCAGCGCAGTAGAGATGGCCGGTAAGCCAACTCACTTTTAGCCAGGCGTTACTCAATATTTATAGGCAGACAAAATAAACTACAGACATGTGATGAGACATGGGGTATGAAGTGTACAAACATGTACGCTCATATAAAAACAATCAAGACTGATAAGCGGATAATTAACAAGGTCAAAATATGACTTAAGTAGAACGAATAGATTGGGCTGTCCGAAAGTTAGAGTAAAGTATATGGGCTTAACATAATGACTGACACTACAATATTTGAAAGTTAGACCTAGAAGATGAAATTCGAACGCCTAAACCACTAAGCCATTTACTCCACAAAACTATTTAAGTAACAACGACTTCATTATTATACAAACATATACTTCATCTCATGTCTTTCTTAATCCATAATACGCACAATACATAATATTATCAAATTTACTCAAATGTTACTACTGTTTATTCCCATACCTGATATAAGTTGGCATTTGTGCATGATACCATCGATCCAAATCAAACAGACCAATACGAATAACAGATTCGGAAAACTTCCATATAAAAGCAATCAAACGTATCATTCCTATAGAATGACTGATGACAGCATTACTATTATTATTATTATTATTATTATTATTATTATTATTATTATTATTATTGGGATGATGATAATTATTATTATCCATAATGAAATCACCCGGTGCATGAAGTGATTGAACAGAAAGTAATCTAGATGTGTATTGAGGTTTATTATCGTCAATTTTATCACCAGATAATGTTGTAGATAAACGTTCTGCAATACCAATTAAATCCTTTAAAATAATAAAAGAGGTTTATCATAATATAAGTAAAAATATTAGACTATAATAAATGATTGACTTGCAGTCTTCTGACCACTCTAAGCAACAATGCAAGCATGTTCGAAATGCGATTCTCCCCATTCTCGAGATCCAAAATGCTGCTTCAGGATTGGGTTGCATTGACACCCGAACTAGTGATAGGGAGTGAAGTAATTGAGCGTGTCGACCGCTTCACTTATCTTGGAAGTCTCATCAGCCCTTGTGGTCTGGTGTGTGACGAAATCTCAGCACGGATACAGAAGGCTCGACTAGCTTTTGCCAACTTGCGTCATTTATGGCATAGGCGAGATATCCGTCTACCAATCAAAGGACGTGTTTACTGTGCAGCAGTTCGTTCCGTCCTACTTTATGGCAGTGAAACATGCCCGGTAAGAGTACGAGGTATTCGTAGGTCACCAGTATTCGATCATAGGTGTCTTAGAAGCACTGCCCGTGTATCCTGGGACCACTGAGTAAGTAATACAGTTGTTAGGAAACGGGTACTAAGTAAGGATGGTAAATCAATTGAAGCAATGAAACTTCAGCAATTAAGATGGCTGGGACACGTGTTACGTATGCCCAACCACCGACTGCCCCGACATGCGATGTTTCATGGTGTAGGAGTAGGTTGGAAGAAAGCTAGGGGCGGCCAGATCAAAACACGGCACAAATCCATGAAGTCACAACTGACAAGTGGACTGAGCAATGTTGGTAGGTGTAGACTACGTGGTTGGGATCCGCGAGACGATAACAACCGATGGTTAGAGACCCCTGAATGATATGGCTCAAAATCGTTTGCAATGGCGCAGGTGCATACACTCTTAGTGTTCTCCCAAATTCTAATCTCAATTCTTCATGTCCCTTTCTTTTTTTTTCTCTTCCCAAATTTATTTCACTGGATTATACTCATTGAATAACATCTTCCAACCCTAATGTATCCGATTACTGTTTATACTCTTACAACCTCTACCACTGTTGGATTTGAATAGACAACTGCATCTCTGTGCTAATGTGGTATGGCAACTCGAACTGATGTACGTACGTACGAAGTTCTACACTGTTACTGACTGACTTTCATAAACAGAACGATACAGTATTATCATCTTATTTATCTTCAACATAAAAAATAAACATACACCATTTCATTCACAAAAGAACAATAAACAATTGAAATGATTAATATTGAGTTAATAATTTACATGAATGTGTATCATTATTATGGATTATATTAGTTACCTGGTAATAGAAATTGAATTCTTTATGTTTATTTGAAAATAATTCATAACGACGTCTATAGGATAACTGGAATAATTTTACTGTTGGACTAATAATTTTTATGAAAGAAAATAATTTAAAAAGAATAAGAAAGTAAATTCAAGATTAATTCTATTCATTATAAGAAATTACTTATAATATGTAATGTAACATTAGGTGACAATCATTGATGCCCCCCACATGCCCTGGTACGGCCGAGAGTGAGGAGAGTCAGCTATCCCTCTCCAAATGCTCTCACATAGCCACATGTATATAGCATCTGACAGGGAAGTCCTACTCACTACCTTCTCGCACCAAGGGTGTTGTTTATGAAATTGAGAGAACGAAAAGCGAATGTCCGGCGCTTTAACCGGGTTGGTGGACATGGAGAGTTCACCTAGGGGAGTTGGAAAACCCTGATTCCGAACCAATGGTGTACATGGTCTCCCGTGTCCTGAGGGAACAAATGGCGTATGAACCAATCGTTGGTCACCGGCTATCATGAAACTGCATCCCCTTACGATGCTCCACTGCCTTGTGGATCAGACCTTTAGGTCGAGGGCTCCGGGTGTGGCTTTGAGCAATATCACAGCCCTTGCACAAACCAAATGAGATTTGTGTGGTGTATATGTATTTGGTGCTTCCTTGTACCAATATCTATGTGTTCAAATAAATAAATAATTGATGACTGATTCATGAGAAATATGAAGATAGAATGGAACAACCATATATTATACCCTTTACAGTGATCAATAAATAATGACTTAACTTTAGAGTCTATGGAGTCAAACTTATTATATTGATTTATTTAAGCAAATGAATATTGATACAAAAGAGCATCGAATTACATATTCCCCACATAAGTCTATGATACTGCACGGGTGCCCAAAACGAAGCAAGTGGTTTTCTTATGGAGGGTGTTATATCCTAGTGAAGAATACGAGTAACATCTGGGACTTATCAATGGACTATTATTATTTATATATTCTCATGGTATAAATATTCAATAATTAGATTATGTATATCTATATTCCTCTTATTACAAGCTTTATTTTGACCTATCACTTATTATTGTATGATTTGCTGTTCTTAAGCTATGTTCAGTTTATTGACTACTGCCTCCCACGTTCACAGCCACTTTTTGGCTTTATTGTGTACAAACGTTATTTCCTATTTTATGGTGCGTTGCGGTCTGTTTGGTTGAGATAAAAACCCAGTATGTCTGAAATAAATTATTCGATTCTCATAGTGGAAGCTGGTATTGGTGTTCTGGACTCAAGTGAACGGGCTAGGCGAACACAGGACCAATAAGGGCGCTAGGCTGCTCATATCGGTCGAACGTTATTGATTTGGCACAGTGCTAAGATTGTATAAGTTGTATTTTTATTGCTGGATAAATCACGTGATTAAAAGCCGGACATAAACTTACAACAGGGGGGGGGCAAACTCGGAGCCTTCGAGCTAAGGTTTGATCCACAAGGCAGTGAAGCAACGTTAGGAAATACAGTCCCATGGTAGCTGGTGACCGAAAATTGGTTCATATGCCATTTGTTCCCTCAGGATCCTGGCGCAAGCTCATATGCACCACTGGCTTTGAATAAGGGTTTTCCAACTCACCTATGTAGATCCTCTATATTCACCAACCCGGTTAAAGCGTCAGACATTCGCTTTTCGTCATCTCAATTTCGTAAACAACATCCCCGCCGTGAGAAGCAGTGAGTAGGACTCCCCTGTCAGTGGCTGTATGCATGTGGCTATGTGAGCATTTCAAGAGGGAGAGCTGACTCTCCGCAATCTCGGTCGTGCCAGGACGTTTAGGAGTCTAACTTTATAGATATTTCAATTTAATGATTTATTGTAAAAGTAAACAATTATGTCATTAATGAGATTTTATACAAAAAAAAACATTGGTTTGCAAGTTCAAATACCGTCATATCTACTTTCATTTGAAGAACCGAAGTAATATCAGGCGAGACTATAATTTATGGACGAATCAATCAGATATAAGATAATGAGTCACGAATTTTGGCGCGAAATTCATCCATACATTTGGCTAAATAGAGTTTTGACATTATATCTGATGTCAGTTCGCGATGAAAACCCAAAATCTAATTTTTAACTCTAACTATCAACTGTAAATGAGAATTCGAACTGCTTTATAACCCTCATTTAGTCCTAATCAGGTGTCCACTCAAGGTCACTTCAGCGTCGCTCAAAGGTCGTCCATAAATTATGGTCTCACTGTAATATCACCATAAAAAGTGCTCTTTGAAGTTAATTATGTGAAGCTATCCCTAGTTTAACTTTTCCTGAACCTCCAAAGAATCTATTACCTGTACCAAACCTTCATAAAAAGAAGGGCTGAATGTAGGGTAGAAAACCGCAGAGATTATAAAGAACATCGCTCAAAAATCGCTGACCAGCGAAAACCAACTAAATTCTGTTTTGAGAGTCTAAGAGTATTTATATAAAAAAAGTTCTGATCCCTCAAAGCGAAGACCGAGTTTTAAAAAGCCATTACGCCGATATCCTTTCTTACAAACAGGACAACAACAAACATACGGACATGGAATGCCTAAACTGGAAGATCATTCATACAGATACACGAATGAGATAATACAATCTGGCTCTGTTTGGAATACTTGAGACCGACTGGGCTAACTTCAACAGAGGTGTTATCGCATTCTGGTTCGGGAGAATAAGATGCCCTACACACAAGCAGTTGAACTGATGCTGTCGACAGAAGCACGAAAAGCACTTATAGAATGGGAAACCCAGTAGTCAATGATCACCAAAGCATCTTTCAAAACAAAGAACAGAAGGATTTAGCGAGTATCATTCAATGCTGTGTCTACCGATGATGGGAGTAAAAATGATAAAGACCAGTTTTATGAGAGGCTCCACTCTATTCTATGAAAGTGCCCAACTGACAATCATGATGGCGAATCTAAACACCAAGTTCAAGATGGACAACACCATGTACGAACACATAATGCGGCGGTGTGGACCAGGAGAAAGGAAACGGGAATAGTGAGATTGGTACGTTTATGTGAATTCAATAAAATAGTCATAGGCGGTAACATTTTTCCTTACAAATACATGCAAAAAACTAAATTAGTTTCACCGGACTACACAACAGAAAATCAGATCGATCAAATCGTTGCAATCAAAACACTTTCTACGTTCTTTGAAGATGTAAGAACAAAGAAATAGTTGTCCTCCAAGCTAGTTTCTTCGGATAGTACAAAAATATATTTCAGTCACGACTTCACTTCTTCAAGATCAATTTAAAGGACGAGAGAAAGAGCACAGAAAGTTGTCCACATTCATATTTCAACCAAGTTAACGCTAATATTACAAGCTCGTGTTACTAAGTTGAATTACCTATAGACAACTTTGAATCAGACGATGGTATTCATCTTTTTCATACATATCACATTCTAGAATCACTCATCATCATTTCAAACACTTTTTTTAAAAATGCACAAACTACGATGCTTTTTGGAATATCCCAATACATTAATTTCTTTAAAAATCAAATTTACCTTTGGAAGTTTCCTGCAGAATTCTGTTTCCCAGTAAATCTAAACACACCATCACTTTCAGTTTCTTGTTTTGATTGCCAACCAACCCAAATAAAACAACAAAATCGTGGATCATCCGAAGGTTCTAGGAAGTTGAAACTAACCACAGGAGTAGCTGGAGTAGCTTGTCGCAAACAAAATCTAAAACAGAAAGAAAATGGTATAGATTATAACTCTCCAATTATGATTATCTAATTATTTATTTAAACACATGAAAATTGGTACAAGGGAGCACCAGATACATACGCGCCACGCAGTTATCATTGACTTGTGTGGGGGCTATGATACTACCCGAGTGCCCGAACCGAAGCAGGTGGACCACTCCCCGAGCCTTTAACCTACAAATCTAACCCATAAGAAAGTGAAGTAACGTTAGGAGATGCAGTCTCATATGTGAAAATTGTTGACGCTGTATAGTTTTCCAAACTAAATTAAATTGAGTAAGGTTTTGGACTTTTAGACGCGGTGGTTGAATGCTGTGACCATCACCCCATTATCCATTGCAGTTAATAAAGTGAAGAATGGTAGCATGAGAGTAAGAGAATCCTGAAAACATTTTTAGATATGCAACATATAATCAGATATGTCCGATGAAAGCTATTTTCTGAATAAAAATCAAAATGCCTTTAGGCCATATCGAACTAAATCATTACTGAATGTAAGTAAAAATCCGAAAGCAGTAAAAATAGTGTAAGGAAATTCAAAACTGAACAATGTAAACAGCCTACGTCGTAATCATCTTATGGATTCCTAAAGAGCACTACATATTGCTTTATGTTTTTCGAATTAAATTTGATATCAAACAACATGATTTAGCCTCTTTGAGGACTGAGATTAAAACTGTTTGGTAGTTGAAACCCGTCCCCCCCCCTGAAGTGTTTCGAGTTGTGAATAAAGAGTGCAAACCTCATAAAATAATGAATTTGCAGGAAACAATGGCTAACTAAATGCTCAGTTAAGTATAGACAAGGAAATAAATAATGCAACTCAATAAATTTGAGCACAAAACCATTTACTGAACTCTGGGTTATATAAATATTGATTACCAGTTACAGATACTATTTATCTATTTATTTAACCACATAAACATTGATAAAAGGAGGCACCAAATAGATATGTGTCACGTAAATCATTCAATTTGTGTGAGGGTTGGGATGTGATGTGTGCTACTTATATTAACATAAGTAGTATATGACGTTACTCGTGAAAAGGTCTGACAGCAGAGAGACAGGAGGATCAAACAATAAAGAACGGGAACAGAATGCAATTTGTATGAAAATGCAAGAACAATGATATCTGAGTCACTATGAGACAACTGATGGACATTCTGCAAATTACGTATTTACTATTTGATTGTTAGATTTTATTAACAAGTCTTGTAATTTTGAGTCAAATACATCCGATTGTCCCCACTGGTGTTCTTATTAATTACAGGGATACTGCATGGGTGCCCAAACCGAAACAGGTGGTTTTCTTAGGGGGACATTCCTCGAGCCTTCGACCTGAAGGTCTGATCCACAAGGCAGTGGAGCAACGTCAGGAGTTACAGTCCCATGGTAGCCAGTGACCAACGATTGGTTCATACGTCATTTGTTCCTTCAGGATCCTAGAGCACATGTGTACCATTAGTTTAGAATCAGGATTTTCTAACTCCCCCAGGTACATGCTCCGTGTCCACCAGCCCGGTTAAAGCGCCGGACATTCACTTTTCATCCTCTCAGTTTTGTAAACAACACCCCCCTCCACGAGAAGGCAGTGAGTAGGACTTTCCTGGTGGTGGTTGTATGCACGTGGCCGTGCGAGAGGATTTGGAGAGGGAGAGTTGACTCTACCCACTCTTGGCTGTACCAGAGCATTTGGGGGCTATAGATACTACGTAATTACACAAACCAACATGGGTGAAATGCATCAGTTAACTGACAAACCAATAATTGAAAGTCAATTAACGATTAAATACAAAAACCACTCTATGGACAGAAAAATATGTTTTTCATATACCTATCAAAGGATCGTTTATAACTATTGTTTAGCTTTCTAATACAAGCTGTATGAAAAAAGTCACTGTAAAAGATAAGGCATAATTGAGAAGATTAAGTTTACATCTTTGTAAAAAAAATAAAGAAATTCACACAACGCTTACTCCATATTCAGTCGATCCAATGACCATAATTGCCAACCACCAAAACTGAAGCCGACAGCAAGACCTTGAAGTTGTGGAATATAACTTAAGGCTGACACGTAGACACCAGCTATAATTAATAATAATGATGAAACAGATTAGAATTTAGATGTTTTGCCTCCGTAAAGATTTGTAACCTAGTAAATGTGATATAGTAAAACTTTGTATCCATTTACAAGCATATGTGTACTCAGTAGATTTGAGTCACATACTTTTTGTAAGGATGATCAATACTAACCAAATCTTCAGAATGAAATGGGCAGCATCCCTACCCATGTATTCAGGTTTGTTAAAATACATTTTTGTAAGAGGGCTGTTCAAACTAAACTAGGCAGAGGGAAATTCGAATCTGCAACAATGTTTGAAAGTTGAGTGTTCCGATGATTAATCCATAGATTCATTATGTCTACGAATATGTTAAACCGAACATGATCATATAAAACAATATGTAATAAGAAATTTACATACACAGACACATATAAACAAAAAAAACTTACCAGATGGGATTGAAGATAATGTTTTACCACTGACAGATTTATATGTAAAATCATTCCATCGAAGAACTGAGGCTGAGTGAAATATATCAAAGAATGATAGCATAAAAAGATTACTGAATATCACTTCAAATAATCAAATGATTAGCACAATAATGAAAATGAATTCACAAATGAGCAATGCCATCCAAGCTGTAAAACAGTTTGCACCCCAAATACCCTGGTACAGCCGAGAGTGGGTAGAGTCAGCTTTCCATCTCCAAATGCTCTCACACAGCCACGTACATGCAACCATTGCCAGGGAAGTTCTACTCACTGCCTTCTCGCACCAAGGGTGTTGTTTACAAAACTGAGAGAACGGAAAATGAATATCCAGCGCTTTATCCGGGTTGGTGGGCAGGAGTGTCTACCTAGGAGATTTGGAAAACCCTGATTCCAAAACAATGGTGTACATGGGTTCCAGGATCCTGAAAGAACACATGGTGTATGAACCAATCGTTGGTCACCGGCTACCATGGGACTGTAACTCCTGACGTTGCTCCACTGCCTTGTGGATCAGACCTTTAGGTCGAAGGCGCCGGATGTGGCCTCCTAAGAAAACCACCTGCTTCGGTTTGGGCATCCGGGTAGTATCACAGCCCTCACACAGAATAATTTATGTGGCGCATATCTATTTGGTGCCTATTTGTACCAATGTTTGTGTTTAAATAAAATAAATAACGACTACATTAAGTTGAATGGGGTTAAAATTGCGAACCGAAGATTGATTTGTACTAATTATTTCAATACCACCGATCCTTTACACAAAAATATAATGGGTAATACATTCATGTGTCTACAACAGTGATTTGTAGAAAAACAACAAAATTTTAGAGGCTTTATATTACCAAATGATCTGATTGCGTATAGTTCAGCTTAGTAATATTTTGTATTGTCTATATTTTGAACCGCATTAGCATAGGACCTAGAAAAAATGTTTATCGTTCTAAAATGCTACACCTCACATTAGCATAGTGACAAAGGATATTAACAAGGTGGAGACCAGTGAAGAGGACTTAATGTCAACTGTAATCGATATCAAAATAATGAAGATATAGTTCCTACAGGCGGAAATACGATTCCAGAACAGTGTTCGGAAAGATATTTAAATTAAGATATAGAAAACTATTGTTTTAAGAAAATATAAGTACGATTGCGCCACCACAATCGAATTTACTCCAAGCCACGCAACCAAGAGAACCAAAGTATCAGTACGGAAACGAAGTTAACAAGATACTAAAGGAAAACTAATGTCTGTTAAAACAGTTAAATACATATCATATGACTAGAAAAAGCCTTGCATGGCATGTATGGCAATTCGAAACAAACAAGATACGATTATGACGGAAATGTGGTTCAGTTACTCAAAGGTCCTCTCGCTTATCAACAATCGTAATACAAGTATAACTGTGCCCCCAAATGGCCTGGTACGGCCGAGAGTGAGGAGAGTCAGCTCTCCCTCTCCAAACGACCTCACATAGTCACGTGTATATAGCATCTGACAGGGAAGTCCCACTCACTACCTCTCACCAAGGGTGTTGTTTACGAAAATGAGAGAACGAAAAGCGAATGTTCGGCGCTTCAACCGGGTTGGTGAACATGGAGAGTTCACCTAGGGGAGTTGGAAAACCCTGATTTCAAACCAATGGTGAACATTGGCTCCAGTATCCTGAAGGAACAAATGGCGTATGAACCAATCGTTGGTCACTGGCTACCATGGGACTGTAACTCCTAACGTTTCTCCACTGCCTTGTGGATCAGACATTCAGGTCGACGGCTCCCTAAGAAAACCACCTGTTTCGGTTTGGGCACCCGGGCAGTATCACAGCCCTCACACATATCAAATGAGATATGTGTGGCGCATATGTATTTGATGCCTCTTTGTACCAATATCTATGTGTTAAAATAAAATAAAATATAGAACCAGTTAACTCAAACAAAACAACCAAACAATATATAAGAAAGTCTCCCAACGAAATAAGTATTTGAAAGTAACCAATTTGTCAAAGTAGTTTATATACTGTTAAGTAGATTTTAAAACATTGTTTCAACCTTTAAAAAAATGATTACTTCAATTTACCGTCAAGATATACTAGTGAGTGTTCTATATTATCATTAGATGATTGAGATATTGGTTGTTTACAAGAAAAACAATTTAAACAATGCGATCTTTCAACTGCAATTGATGTCTCAGGTATATCATTTAATAAATCATCACGAGTATGTGTTAGACACATATCTGTAGAAGAAGAAAAAGAAAAGAGAGAAAACAAGTAATCAACCATACATATATATATAGATAGATAGATAGATATTTACAAGTTAAAATCTCTGGTTACTAAATGTTTATTCAACCACAAATCAGTGGAATATATTTCAGCTGTTAGTCAATGATAACTAACAAAGAGGTTGAAATAAATCTAAATGACTGTAAATATAGTCTACCAAATTTTAGAATACATGAACTGTGCATGTTAAACTTGATTGTTAGTCAAACATTATTATTTGATTAAAAGGCGATTATAAACACAACATGGTGTTGTTGCTTTTTGTAGTAAAATCATAAATATATATTTCTTGTAGGTATAATGCTGATACTTTTAATACACAGATAAGTAGCTACAATAACTTCAACAAATAAATGCCCACGATCAAAAAGATAGGGAATACAAAGCATCATGCCAACTTTAATAAACCATATAATGAAAGCGAAGAGGACACTATCACGAAACAGTTTTACTTTAAAACTTACATCATCACCTGAGGTGATTATCAAGACTGAAGTGATTTAAGTGCACAGTCCATTTCATTTATTGTAGACGTCTCGACAACCATGGATTGCCTGATAAAACCTCGACATCAACTTAAAAACACCACCCGGATTTTACCAAATGGAGTCACTTATCAGGTATGCAAAATGTCCATCCGACAACCAGAAGGCAAAAATTCTGATAAGTAACCCAATTTATACTACTCAATGGTTAAGAAGCATCGTCCATGAAAGTATAAAGCAAGCGTACACCGCAGGAGTTTTTTGATAAATGTGTTCCAAACATTGCTCGTGTACGATACTTCACGTGTCCTAACCATACCCCCACATTGACGCACATTCTTATCTATTACTATTAATACTATACTACTACTACTAATAATCGGTGATTTGCCCTGATAGTTTTATCTCGCTGAGCTAATGGAGTATGGCAACTGGAACCAATGTACACTCCAGGAGTAATGTAGCATTAACCGGAACAATACACAGTAGCAATCCACAAAGTCATGAACTATTGCTCTAGACGATATTGGTAGCTGCAGATTAACTGGTTGGGCTAACGCACATTTGTATTAGTCAGTTAGTCATAAAAAATGGAGAATCTGGTTCATATGAGCAACGGTTCAGGGTAAAAAGCCACATCAATACAGCAATGCCAGAATAGTGTAAGTAGTAGCAGTAACTGTGGTAGTAGAAAAGATTAGACACAAACAATATGATTCGAGAAAAAAGAATGACTTAAAAGCACCACGTCGTTTCGTCCCAGTATGAGACTTCTCAGTAGTGCGCATCCATGATGCCGCACCAAGGATCCAAACCCAGGACCTTCAGTCGCGTGTGCGAACACTTAACCTCTAAACTACTGAGTTAGGATCCAATAGTGTACAAGTCTAAGGTCAATCATGTCTCTAAAACATAAACAAATATATACTCACCCAGTAAACCTACAAGTCCTTGCTGAAAACCGAGGGCGAAACAACCATCAAAAATTGATAAAACGGAGCTTAAAGTTTTGTTTGTTCCTTTGGAAATATCTTGATCCGTAATATCCATAGTAGAGTTCATTGAGCGCGATTCCGATGGCTTACATCCTATATCGATAAGAGGCAACCACTCCAGTGAGGTTAGTGCCCCATTTACTAAAATAGTTATGTTACATTTTGCTGTACTCAATGAACGAAAAAAACAGACAAGTGAACGATTCTGGTTGATATTTACAAGAACTGCGGCTAAAGACTGCCTTGCCGTAGTTGAAGTATTTACAAACATAACTTTACTAATATGCCAATTGTACAAATCATCAGGAGAGTCTGATACATTATCCAATAAATATTTTAAATCTAAAATAGGTATCCATGTAAATTGATGTGACCAATTTGGACTGTCACGAAAGCAGTCAAGTTTGTGTATATCGTATAGGCATACAGTTGCTGAAGATGAACTGAAGACGATTTGCGTTGTATTCCTCAACGATATATCGGTCTTGAATTTTGAGAAATTAACTGAACCCAAAGGCTCCAAATATGTCGGTTGCATGTTGATATATTTAGTTGGTTAGCTGCAAAGTAAATAGTAAGAAAAGCAATGACAATACTCTTTCTAAAAAAATAGAACTACATTTTAAGAGAATACGTTCATAAACTCATTAGGAAGATATTGACAACAAATGTTTGATATCAATCCTAAAAACGAGTATATTAGCAACATCGAGATTCATTACTGGTGTCGTTTGATTATGGAGATACCTGTTATATAGATGTACATGACTGATGGGATTATTTCAACTTAATCCGAACTCCTAACTAAACATAATCACCGGTTTTTATATGATAACTCCTCTTCAGTTCGTTTCATATTAATATTAAAGAAAGACAGCGAGAAATGCTGAGGAAAATCGATCAGTATTCCACAATCACTGGATGATGCTTATGATGGACATAATACTAAGAAATAATTCGCCATTATTCTAGCTGATATTCAATTACTCGTTTTCAGTAGTCTGAGTCGAGAATTACTTTATGGTTTCCAACTGCTGCCGAGGTTACTAGGTTGTTGTTATAATTTGATAACACCTAAACGGGAACCTTGAAGGCTAATACAGTTATTAAATGGATGGAATGAAATTTTAATCACGAAGTGGCAGTCTAGTATAAAACCCTTATCACCAGATCCAATCTGGGGTTAATCTATCTAGTATGCAAGGAAAACTTTATCGTGGCAAGTAGACATAAACCAGAATTAGAGATGTTCCCAAAACTGTAGTCTCTGATCAGCTATGATCTGACGGGTTTGTAATCTCTTTGTGAGTGTGTCAACTACTGAAAGAACACTTTAGATTACGTGACAACCTACTATGGACTGGTATCCGCAGCGACCAGATCAATGGCGTTCCGCATTACCACTTACTTTGATACAATATCACAAATATACCACACACGCATTTTTGTAGCATGACTTCATAAGTGATCCAAGTGAAGGAAGCGGCAAACATAATAATCTTATCGGTTCTACGATTTGATTAGACGAAACGATTCAAACAACTTGGGTAAGAATACAATATTTGACATTCATTTTCCACCTCGAAAAAGCTTAATGTCGTTTGCTCAACTATCTAGGGTCGATGCTTAGTTTTACGTACGGGTGCAGGTCCGATTATTCAGTTATTTTATTTTATCCGGGACCCCTATCGATCTTTATGAACCACCCACTAAAACTTCATAAATGATACCAAACATTAGTTACAAAACGTCCTAAAACCTGTTAGGGGTAAGAAGTAAGATATAAATTCGACTTGATTTGCTGTAGGAATAACAATTTAGTCAATAATCTTAAAAACAGGTTAGCCGGCGTACTACATTGTTTGTCGATTATTAAAAATCCAGAGTTTACAAACGTTTATCTGTGAGCGTTTTGAAGCGCCGAATTCGTGTTGACTCACGGGACCTAAAATAATACAGGAGGACTTGATAGTGCAAAGGGTAACCAGACCAAAAATCACATTAGTTCATGACGATACTAGCGACCTGATTAGGACGTAACTTGAGTGGCCACCTACATCCGGATGTAGCATAAGCTACGTTGATCTGCTTCTATAAACACCTATGGATAATTACGGTCAACTAAACTAAACAATTAGTATTGAAATTGAATTATGACAGTAGAGGAGTGATAAATATAGTTACTCGATAACAACAACCGGCCACAAGTACTCAATATTCAAGGAGGACATCAGTCCGGTTTTTGAAACTCCACGAAGGTCAGTCCTATATCCAATATCGGATTCAGATTTGCGTAGTAAGGACAGAAGACCTATGACCTATGTTATTCTTTTTCTTGTATGCTTCTGTGAGTGTCTAGTCTTCTCTTGAATGAGTCGACTGGAGGCGCTGACATCACTGCTTCGCGTAACAGGTTCCATGAATTGATGACTCGGTGTGAAAACATGTATTCCACGGGTATTTTGTTCGTTCTTGGCTTGTCTTCTCGCCTGCTATGTCCTTTAAGTTGTCCTAATCTGGTAGGGAGAAAGAGAGATAATAAGTATATTGTGTTCAAAATCATTTCTTAACATGTCATACATCCTTAAACTTCTTTTCACCCAAACAGCACGGTTACAGGAAGGGTCATTCTTGTATAACCAACCTACTGACTGCGATGGACAGATGGACAACCATCCTTGATCGCAAGGCAAAGATTGACGTCATATACCTTGACTTCTCAAAAGCTTTTGGTAGGGTCAACCATATATGTCTTATCAATAAGCTCAAACGATTAGGTATCAAACCGCCTTTAATTGACTGGCCAACTTTTTATCTAAAAAATCGACATTTGAAGATCAGGGTTAACTTCGATTCCTCTCAGGTTGTGGGATGTCCTAGTAGGGTCTTTCAGGGTTCAGTACTAGGACCTTTTCTTTGATTGATTTACATAAACGATCTTCCACAACAGGTATCGTCAGGCTTATCGCTTCTTACTGATGATGTGAAACTTTGGAGAGAGATAAGCAACCAAGAGGAAAAACTGGCACCTCAGGAGGATCTGACTGGACTTCAAACTTTGGCAGATGACAAAGGACTTATTTTTAACACTTCAAAGTGTAAAGTGGTCCGTCTGAGACATGTTGCAAACTACAGCTACAAATTAGGAAACTCCCGTCTAAAAGTATCCCAAGTTGTAAAAGATTTAGGAGTCCTGGTACTCCACGATTTAAAGTCTTAGGCTAACTGCCACAAAAATGCCTTTCGAGCAAACCTTGCCCTGGTAACATTGAAGCGCATTTTTGGCCAGTTTCACGGAAGAACTTTCCACATAATCTTCAACAGTTTTATTCGTCCTCACTTAGAGTACGGAAACATAGTATTTCCTCCCTCACTCCATAAGAATAAGGACATTCTGTAAAGTATCCAACGGAGAACCATGAAATCAGTTCGCAGAATCAGGTTCAAGTCTGATGAAGAGCGCCTCTAATCACTCAATTTTCCCGATTAGATTACAGGCATCCTAGAGGAGATCTCCTAATGATTTACAGCATCTTAAACACTTCTGGACATTCCCTTAAACACCTACGCGTATTGAATTTTTCTAACAAGCGGTTTATGTCCTCACCTTTATCACCTATGATTATTATATCATCAACATACCATTTATACAGACCCATCTTTCGAATTGAGTCTTCAACTAAATTTTCAACATATCCCATGAACACATCAGCCAGCAATGGTCCTAAAGGGCGACCCGCAGCTACACCATCTACTTGTCGGAAGTGCTCACCTTCAAAAGTGAATTTTACATTATCTGTACAGAATAATAATAAATCTTTAAGTGTTAACAGGAAATGGCAGTGGAAGGTTATTCAGAAAGATATAGTCACACAAAATATCAATAGATTTCCTGAGAGGTACATTTGTAAATAAAGTGTTCATATCAAAGGAGCTTATTGTCTTTGTCTCTATATTTATGTCCTTTAAGTACCTAATTAATTCAAATGAGTCAGTCAAGGAATACTTACAGTATTGATTTCTGATAGGGTTTAATACTTTTGTAGAACATTTTGCAAGGTTGTATGTGGGTGACCGACACATTGATAGAATTGGACGTAGGGGGGATTAGGCTTATGAAGTTTTGGTAATCCACATAAATCAGGATACGACGAACCCATAGGTTTTAACAAATTAAACTCATCCTCGTTGATAGCATTCATGTTTAACAATTTCACAAGATATGGTTTTGCTTTCTTTTCTAATTTACATAATCCATCAGAGTCAACATCAGCCATAAATTTGCTCTTATAACTGAGAATGGATTCCATTTTATTTTTGTAATCGGACTCATTCATAATGACAATACCAGATCATCTATCAGGGTTAAAAGATGGAGGAGTTAATATGCTCCTCTGCTTTCGTCCAGAAGAAACAAACGGATGCGCCATATCCAATAGTTTGACCACAAACCAACTTTATTTCTCTAAGGACGAAGGGGCTAAAGTATTCAACTGATCATAGAGAGTTTTCAAATCGGGCACTGATTGTCATTTCAGAGATTTTGCTACAGGAACAGAAAAATAAAATCCAGAAAAGTGCCTCCATCTTATGAACAGATAAACAAATGGAGTACAAATTAGTGACATATTTAACAGGATTGATTGTGAAGAAGTGAGATGATATTCTTACTATAGCAATGTTTTTCCAGCTTTTTTCTTATCCTTTCTTTGTTTTCAAAATGACAGTACTACAAAAATTGATGAATTTGATAAGGCAAACTATAGACAATTCTGTTAATACAGGTAATGCTTGAGTATGAAGTTCAATTAAATTGGGCAACTTATCATGGTGTAGATCACCAACGTAGATGATCTATGTCGAAAATGATTTCAGGACCTAAACCTAAATCCTAGCAAACCATGAAGCTTGGGGACTCAGCTTTTTATAATCAGAGATGGAAGCTCGAGACACATATCAAGGCTCAGAGGTATTCAGACCCCAAATCCATTTGGCTGACTGGAAGTGGCACTAAATCCCAGGCAACGAATTTCTATCGAAGATAATGGCTGTCATTCTCGTGAACTTTTGCGCAATCCAGATGTCTTCTGAAATCCTTGTACAATCGGACAAACCACGCGAAGACATGATGAAACATAACCAAAGCAAACTAAAATTGGCGACTTCGCTAGCGGATCATAAAATACAAAAGGCTGTGGAGAAGCCAAGAACTATTCAGCTGAAAATAATAAAGTAATAAAGTTCATTGGCTATGCATATGAGGCTCAGTCAGACGAGAATACTGACAAATAACACGATTTCCGAAGAAAATATAATGGTTGCTTGTGAGAAATTGTTGCAACTTAAAAAAACTGCGAACAAGCCATGTTAGCTAAGTAGTTGAGACAAGGCTCGTCTGGAAGTTGTGAGAGATGCACAGACATTTGTTAGAATTACGGAGTAGGGGTTAACTCTACAGGGTATGTTTTTATTTCACTTGATGCAGATGCCCAATGATAACTGTCACTGCACACAACCTCGCTCTCTGCAATCCTGTTGGTTCCACAAATGATTGGTAAGTACTTGAGATCATACAGAATCTCTTCCTTCGAACAACAAACAGAAAGGACCATACTAGTCAAAATTCAAAGTCAGAGACGAAATAATTAACAGGAAGTCCAGACAAACTAGTAACAAATAAAAGAAGGCCCTAAGGAAGGGCGGGAACCGATACCAGACTGATTTAGTGGACAAACTTTTCACTAATCTCTGAAGCCTATTCCGTCACGCAGCATCCACGAGTGGGTCAATAGGAATCTCGAACGTGAAGCTATAAACTGACCTGTTGCACCGCAGATCGCGTCTTCTAAAATGTTCCATATCCCCTGGACTGGACGTAAAGCTCTATTACAGAAAAGCTTGAACTGATAACTTTGAAGGGCATTTTCGGCTTTCCACTTAATTTTCATCACCTTTATTTAAATTCCTTTAATGCATAGAAATACAGTATTCCTTCCTTTGTCTTCAAGGACTAGGGATGCTCTAGAACTTATTCTAAGGTTAGACAATAAATCATGTCGTGTGCACATGTACAGGCCTCATACTATCCGTCTAGAATCATTGGACCATTACCTTTAGAAAATGTAAGCTACTCGAAGTTGATCGCCTGACAACATACCCCTGAGTACCCTCTGGAAGTCCATCTAAGTTCATGGTCAACACAAACCATGGGGGTGATACCCGAAAATGAGAGGCAAAGTACGGCGAACAGGAAATTACACGCACATATTTGACCTACTCTTTGCCGATAGTCAGACCCCGGAATTCTCTGGCAGCTGGGGTGATTCAAGCAACTTCCTGGATGTTCGCCAAAAAGAAATTTGGTGTATTCTTCTAGGCCTTAGACATTATAGCATTTTAACCTAATATTTCTCTTTCGTTTGTTTAATATACCTACGTCTCGACATGAAGACATAGATGAACAACTACTAGACACACAAGCGCGATGGGCGTAAGCTGTTTTAGACTCCGTTCACAACCACTGGAATTCCCACCCTGACATAATAACGATGATTTTTTGAACTTCACACAAAGGTTTGAAAGTCAATAAATTGATTATGATATTTTCGGCGGGGCGTAAAACTTGCTCGGCTACAGTCATATGTTATTCTTTTTCACATGTTATCGTAAATTGTCCGCCTATCAAAATTTACAGACGTAGTTATTCCACTCATCGACGTTAAACCTTGTTGTTTGTTCTTCCTTAAATTGGCTGCTAGTTGAGTGCGTGAGGTATTATGTCTTTACGTAACCCTTTGATTTAATAAGAATGGATATGTTGTACTGTGCATATATTGACATTAATAAAAGTAGAAAGCCTAAGTGTTCAAGTCAATCTAGTTGCTTGTTGTCGTTTCATCCCTCAGCTAGATCCACTCGTTGATTTTCCTCATGCATGAAGAAAACCATGGTTTTTTTCGGTGTTTTTCAAATTACATCCCAAGTTGTTCATAGATGATGTAAGGTAAAAATAAATTCGTTTTGGCCTGAATCAGCCTTCTGAACAGGCAACGCCTGGTTCAGTATTTTAAGGTCTTGGTTCTGATTATCTGAGTGATCGTGGTTATGAGTCACAAACAGGTACGAAACGTTCTCTGATTTCTGTGGTTCCTCAGCCAGATATAGTTCGTAATAAATATTGCATCATCTATCCAAATAAGGAGATATCTCTTAATCCGGCTAGAATGCCTCATTTGGTATTAAAGGCTTAATCTGCACTTGGACATAAATGTTTCTACAACTAGGTTCGAAACTCAGTACATATTTTAGAGATTATAATGTCATTTTTGAGTAATACCTTGTTTATTCATTTAGACAGTTATCTCAAGGTAGGCAGATTTAGTTAAATTCACAGTAGTCTCTTGTTCTGTGCATTAAAAATACTGCTTCACTCATGATTGAACTGTGTCATGTTCAGATTCCTGTTCTCTAATCCTAAAACATCTGTTTGTACTATCTAGTCAATTTATTTATTTGTTGTTTTTCGTTTGAGATTGCTCGAACTAATCGTCATGGAACTACCACCTTTTGAATTACTTTATACTACGTCAGATATACTTAATGAATTAGAAACTGCACTTGAAGAGTTGGATCAAAGCAAGCTTTTCAAAGATGTGGGAAGGCGTAGACGTCGGAGGAGAAACGGAGGACTATATGGTGTAGGGTTTGAAGCAGAAGATCCCGACTATTATAATCCAGTGGGGATATGCTGTGATATCGCCTTCTACACTAATGAGGAATATAAAAGACATTTAGATAGTCATGTTAAAGTAAGTTTTGCTCGGTTGTCAAATAATATTTGACCAAGTGTCCTGTTGATGGCTGCCCATTTACGTCACATCAGAAAGCAATGCGTGTCCATCAGGAAGTGGTCAGTAAATCTCTATAAATTGTCATTTATCTATCCTTTTTACAGATTCACAATAGTGGTTTGTTTAATGTCATCTACCGTGAAACTTGCGATAAGTCAGTAAAAGTTTGGAGAGAAAGCCGTAAACGGTAAGACTTCTTCAACTAAAGTATCAGTAGGGTTTCCTGTTTATATGAACCCAGATTATTTATCCTTTCTGTAAAGTATAAAAGACATTGGTACTGTAAAAATTTACTCCTGTATTTATGAATGGTGTGTTTTAAAGAACATAAGAACTACTAACCTGTTGATTACTACGGTTTTTCTCGTTCAATTACCATAACGACTGATTCAAATAAGATATGAAGTATGGTTTTTTACATAAAAATCAGTAGATTATGCGTTCTAGTAACTATTCGAATTTATTTTGCAACAAGTTTAAAAGCTACTGAAAGACAAAGCGTACTAACTAGGTGCTTTGTTCTCTGCAGCCCACTAGAACTGGACATTTTTAATAGTTTTCTTACCTATAAAGTGACCTCTGAGTAAATAAGGTGAAAGTTGATTGATACTCAAAAGACTTATGGTCGTACTCAAAATAAAATATTACTTATTTGCAGTGAACGTAAGAGCTTTCATGAAAGCTACACACTTCACATCATTTTATTTACTTAAACAGTTAGCTACAACATTTATTTATTTCAACACATAAATATTGGTACAAGAGGGTACCAAATATATATGCGCCACACCATATTTGTGTGTGTGTGGGCTGTGATACTCCCCGGGTATCCAAACCGAAGCAGGTGGTTTTCTTAGTAGGCCACACCCCGAGCCTTCGACCTGAAGATCTGATCCACAAGGCAGTGGAGCATCGTAAGGAGATGCAGTCCCATGGTAGCCGGTAACCAACGATTGGTTCATACGCCATTTGTTACTGCAGGATACTGGAGCCCATGTGCACCATTGGTTTAGTTTGGGATCCGGTTAAAGCACCGGACATTCGCTTTTCGTCCTTCCATTTCCGTAAACAACACCCCCGTCACGAGAAGGCAGTGAGTAGGACTTCCCTGGCAGAGGCTTTATACGCGTAGCCATGTGAGAGCATTTCGAGAGGGAGAGCTGACTCTCCCCACTCTCGGCCGTACCAGGGAATTTGAGGGCATCTTATGTCCATCTCTTTTCAGCCGTAAATGTATTTTTATTCCATTCGAAACCACATTCTATTTAATGTGTTTAGTATTATTTATTCAAACATAAGCATTGGTACAAATGGGAACTTAAATATGTATACGCCACGATAAAAACAAGCTTGTAGAAATGGAGAAAGGAAGGTGATTATAATAAAAGAAAAAAATGAACAAAAATTAGTGTGAGAGTGAAAATAGTAATAACAACACCAGAAGCCGTAGATCGATGCATAATTGGTTAAAAGCATCCAACCACTAAATAGTATTTTCGAATCTTTTTTCATCACTCGTTTAAGCAGCCAGTTAGCAACACTAGCTTTTACATCCAATGTTTGGCTTAGATCCAGCCATGCAAATCTTGACTTAATAAATTGTGTCATTACTACAGCTAGGAATGAGAAGTTTGAAAACCCTTGGTTGTGACATTCATTCTAACTTTTCTACTGAATTACCAATGTTTATTCAGTGTCCTTCAATGTCTGATTGCTTTAATTTCCGTTTATATTATGCCAAAAATTGTATTTTAAAGTGATAAATGTCTAGATTTTCATTATTTTGCAGTTTACCCAAATTGGACACATGGTATTGAATGATCTCTTTCTACACTAAATGTCACTATTTCTTTTGTGAAATGATTATTTTGGTGTGTAGTAATAAATATCACCGACGTTTTTGTATTGTTCACTCTAATTTCTCAGAAATTATCCAACTATGGAGCGAGTTCAAGCGAAAAAGAAGCTCATTGAAGAACGTATAGAGCGAGGAGAAATATTTGAGACACCTCAATTCGGGTAATCTCCTTTTTTTTAATTTTAACGATGTAATTTTTAGTAGTTTCTTTTCTTGTTATATCCGAAACCACTGAATTTAAAATTTGAGTAGACTTCAATATCCCTTACTATTCCAAAACGTGGCTTGTTCTGTACACTTTTACATCTTGGAAATTATAATTGTACAACAGTGTGTGATGTCATTGGTTTTCTTTCAGCTTTTAATTATCCTTTTACTGTGGAATCATCATTAAATGTGAGTAAGCAACGTCAATAATGAAAATACACTTATATATATATATATATATAATAGGTAGTGGAGCTGTGACCTTAATGGCTCCTGTAAATGATTTCCATTTCGCTAATCGTAGGCATAATTTCCCTCTTTGGTATGTTATCATCAACGCACGACGTCCTACAAACTTGGATTGCCTCACGTTGTCAAACCACATCTGTACTGAGAAATGAAACGATGCTATACATGCTGTTTAACCTTTAGCAAATTTATAAGTACATAGGCAAATAAGGCCTAAGCATGTTAATCACATGTTCTTTTTGTAGTCAAAGTTCAATTATTAAGGTCTATTAAGGCTTAAGACTTGAAATTAGCAACTTTTGAAAGATGATTATGGTCAATCTGCACTGTATAAGAATGAATATTCAAGACATTATGTATAATCATTGTAACAAGCCCTTCACATATTGCCAAATGTAAATAGGAATTAAAGTAGAATATATCTTAAATGGTGGTCAGTTTATACAACATGCTTGTGTATGTTATGTGAGGTTAGATAACATACATATCATGCACGTAATTTGAAACCTTAAATTATTTACCTCGAAAATCCAACACTGTCCTCATTTATTATTAGTCCACTTGAAGTGGTTTCCTAAGATGTAAAATCTTGAATTACATTGTACTATATTAGCGGATAATACAATTTGTTTGTCTACCTTGTGTTACTATTAATTTACATCGTTATAATACTGTATTTACCCGTCTCACTTTTATACTTTAGTTCGATGAACAAACCGAATTCAAATGTCCTACGTTCATCACAAATAGGTGAAGTCAATGCTTCATCTAACAAAGTAATGTAAATCTGCATTTTTCTTCAATTTTCAAACTCCCTATTCATGCTTATTGGTATAATGAGAAATCTATACCTTAAGATGATACCAAATTACATATAGGGTGTGTAGTTTCAGCCATATACGGTTATTCATTAGTGATAATTTTGAAACTTAGCACTACTCTTATTGTCTTGATCACTATTGTTATCAGTCCTAGTTCCATAAACTCTGATATCACAATGTACAACATTTGTAAATAATAACTAAAATGCATTTAATGCAATATTCGACAGATTTTTGAGGAGTATTATGCAATTCTCATATCATATACGTATATTTAAAACTGTTGTCCATGCAGTATGCTAACAATTGAATTTCTTAGTTCTTAAACGTTTACCTACATAAATACCGTAATGTGATGAAATGGAATCCTACTGACCAGTCAGTCGTAATTAACTTAGAGTCTGGCATAAATGGATATTAACTTAAGCTGTTATTACCAAATTGTCACTGTGGAATCACATTAACAAGAGGACTGACATTGTATTCAAGATTATGTAGTACCAATGATAATGAAAAAATGAACTGTAAACATTGAGGAGTTGGTTGCGACAAGTCAACCAATTGTTTCATTTAGTCTTTAGAGATCCTACTTGTTAACCTACCTATATATGCTTGTCAATATTTTCCAATGCTATCGTTTTGCGTAAACTAACAAGAAACAATTCTAACGGTTCTCAGTTCACTAGATGACTACTAACCAATACGTTTTTTTGCAAAATCACAATTGCATCTTTATTCATTGATATTTACTGAGTGATAGTTATTTATCCCACCATTTGTATCCTACAGATGTCAACTTCGTCGAAAAAAACTAGTAAAACTGCGAAACAATGTCAGACAAATAGTCCCAGTCCAGTCGTTACAAATCAAGAATCTAGCATACGCTTAGTTCCTACGGATTACGACAGTGAAAGCACAGATAATGACAATATTACTGTTAAAGATAAATCTTCCTGTGATATAACCGATCCTACTACAGAACCTGTGGAAAAGGTAAGATTTTGATTATGATGACCGAAGGTATAGGATATGTGACTTGTGTTTTACAGGTGAGACTATAATTTTTGGGAAACCTTTGAGCGACGCTAGACTGACCTTGAGTGTGTCCATCTAATAACCAGGACCAAATGAGGGTTATAAACTTGTGTGAAGAATTAGACTTATGATTTACAGTTGATGATTAAGGTTAGGAATTAGATTTGGGGGGGGTGTCATCACAAACTGACATGAACTATAATGCCAAAACGCTATTTATTCGAATGGATGAGTGAACTTCGCGCCAAAAACTAAGACCTGTTATCTTATACGTGGTTGTTTCGTCCGTAAATTATAGTCCTGCCGTTTTATACTATGTTCATTTCGTTTCTAAGATAAATTTATAACGTAGTGAGTTATTTCATAGTGCTTCTCAAGCATATAAACGAGGCGAACAAAAGAACCCAAACACGAACATTAAAATGTGGACATATTATCTTTTCGGAGTGTTATATGGTCTTCATATATTTTCTGCTGTTCAAATTTAATCATAACAAATCACCCAGTCATTCATACTTGTCTTGTTTTGAAGATGACAAGAAAACTCTCTCGAAAGGGTGCGTGAAATTGTTGGGGAAGGGGGATTGTGTAGTAACAATAACACGGAAATAACTTCACTGCCTTCTCGTGGCGGGGGTGTTGTTTACGAAATTGAGAGAACGAAAAGCGAATGTTCGGCGCTCTAACCGCGTTGGTGGACATGGAGAGTCCACCTAGGGGAGTTGGAAAACCCTGATTCCGAAACAATGATGCACATGGACTCCACGATCCTGAAGGAACAAATGGCATATGAACCAATCGTTGGTCACCGGCTACCATGGGACTGCATCTCCTTACAATGCTCCACTGCCTCGTGAATCAGACCTTCAGGTCGAAGGCTCCGGGTGTGGTCCCCTAAGAAAACCACCTGCTTCGGTTTGGGCACCCGGGCAGTATCAAAGCCCTCATACAAACCAAATGAGATCTGTGTAGCGCATAACTATTTAGTGTCTCCTTGTACCAATATCTATGTGTTAAAATGAAATTTTAAAAAATCATAGTTTTTCTATCATTGAAATCTAAAATAGGATGATAATTCTACATCTGCTTCGCTATCCTTAATACTCAACTAATTTACAAAAGTATTTTAAACAATAAGTTGTAATAATATTTACAAAAATAATAACAAGTTCTGTCTCTCTCTTGAAATTACCCAGAAATATTCGTTTAATTTTTTAGTTCAATAATACTTCAAGCAGTCGACGTCGAAAACGCGGACGAAAGCAAAAAGGCGACAAGACCAATGATAATCCAGATAACGAAAATACTGAAAATTCTCAAGATGGTCCATTCGCATCGCATCCTTTAGTGAAGCTACAAGTTAAACGACGACAATGTCTAAGTGACATTCATCGTATACATAGTCGTCCAACGCTACTACAGATGGTAGGTATATTTTACTTGTCTGTCAATAATTCGACTAGAAAATATTTAGACTTGCCCGACCGTTGTTGGTACATTGACGTGGTGGTCGGGCTTGCCTATCATGATGAACCAATCGAGCTATACTGGCTGGAACAACCGTTCCTCAAGGTCCTACCATGTCAGACAGGTCGGTTGAAGAACGGTAAAACTAAAAGCAACAAACCTAAGGTCTGAAGGCGAAGTCGTACTGCTGACTGTGCAGAGGTGTGACAGCAGTAAGGTGTTTCCTTCAGACAACCAGCATAACAGTAAGGCTGCCCTCACACAAGGAGAGGTGGGGTTAGAAAAGGTCGAACCTCTAAATACACACCTCGCCTTACCCCACGAATATCCGTCTCCGGCGGTAAGGTCTCAACAAGTACGGACTAACACGAAAATTACTCACAAAAAAATCATGTGTGACCGACCTCAAGCAGTTATCCCTTGGGCACTGCGGTCACACTCTCAGGTCACTAAAACCACCTGCAATCCAATTTCCTTTCGAGGTACCTCCAGAAGAACCCTTCCACGGTGTGGGCAACTGGGAAATGATAATCGCCCTCATACCTCTAACAGCACTCAAGACTGATTTAGACTTGATTTATTTAGATTTTATAGCATTAGGGATATATAAATATTATGGAAACCAACATAAGTGAAAGTTAGTGGTATACCATTAATGGTATTTCTACTATAACTAAAAAATATGTACATCATGCTAATACTAATTAATACATTTACAGAAAAATTATTCACAGCTACCGTTATCAATATTAAAGTGGATTATAGTCGACTTTAACAAGATTATTCACAAAATTATTCTGTATTATTGTAGGGCCAGTGAAATGTCACTGAGCCCTAACCAAATCATCCGGCAGTTGGGTCATTGAATATCGAACAAATAATCTATCCCTATCAAGTTCAAAGACAACCAACGTGCATGAGTTAATCATACTCTATGAACTGGCTTATGCGGCGGTGGTCTCACTAATTCTTACTAATACACTTCCATAATAACGTCCTTTGTGTTATATGGTCTTTAAAGCAGTCATGGACTGGCCTATGCGGTGGTGGTGAATCAGTTGATGAGGTTGGGAATCTTCATCGACTGAGTCACATGTTACCCATGCCCGAACACCGATTACAACGGCGCCCAATGCTGACTAGTGTTGGGGATGGTTGGAAGAAAGTTAGGGTCGGTCTAACCAAAACGTGGCACCAGTCTATAGAGTTGTTAACTTTTAGTCTTAGCCATGTCGGTAGATGCAGACTACTTGGTTAGGGTCCACACGACTATCGTAGCCAATGGTTGGAGACTGAGGATGACATGGCTCAGAATCGACCACATGGTGTCGGTGTATACACTCTGTCTCCCCTTAAACTATGAGATTAAGATCACTTTACATCTTTCTACCTAATTATCTCTTCCTGTTATATGCCTATATGAAACCTTTCTTTTGTACATTACTACCATTGAAGTGACTACTTCTAGTGCTAATGAGGTATGGCAACTTGAACCGATGCACATACGTGCCTGATCCTACATTGTAGCTGACTGGTCTCACTAACTTCTCTGTACTCATTCTTATATTTACGTATTAACGTCCCTTGTGTTATACGGTTTTCAAAGCAGCCATAATAGTACTTTGATACGTTGAAGGGATAATTCACGTTAGATGCTGACCGCGAAGTATGACTTCGAAGTTAGCTGGTTCATCACTTAATTGAGCAGACCTGCAATCATCTACAATGTATATATATACCATTGTACTTTAACGATTATTTGACATAGTTATCAGTTGACATAAAAATAACTCACTTCTTAAATGATAATAATTATTATTATTATTTAATTGATATTTTTTTTTCACAATTACACTGATTTAGTTATTAGCTGAAGATATTCGAAAAGAACGTAATCAACTTATGCAATGTATTCGTTATATTGTTAATGAGAATTTCTTTCAAGTATAACACATTTCAAATGACACTGATCTATATATTTTATAATAATAATAATAATAAGAGATTTGTCAAAAGCTGAAAAATAAAGTGTAATCATATTTGTATATAAATATATTGAAGAAAAATATTGTGTATATTTTCATTTCTTTAATTTGTATCTAGTTTAGTAATGATCAATATTTTCTGTAAGGTGTCCATTCTGGATCTTTAATATTCATGTAAACTTGTGTTTTTCGTGGGCGACCAGCCTTAGGTTGTACAGTGATAGGATTAATATTATTAGATTGTTTAACCCAAAATGAAGTTCCTTGAGGAGGATGTCGTTTTACATGTGTAAACCTATGAGATTTACGTTTTCTTTTTCGTCCATCCGGTTTAAGATCACCTGATGCGGAAAGTAAAGGAAGTGATCTTGTATGAGCTTTGTATTCTTTAGTTCTTCTTGATTGTTGGAATTCAGAGGGACTTAAACTTCTTGATAGGTTTTCTATTGTAGAAGTTTTATCTTCTTCTATAGACTTGGACTCCTTATTAACTGGTGTCAATAAGTGAACGCTGTGCCACCAACGGAAGCATTGTGCTGAACAAATACGAGGAAAACCAGGACATGCTGCACAGACCATGTTAATGGTCATTCCATTTTGTACTTGATTTCTTAACTGACAAGCATGACACTGCACATTTTCATTAGTTGAACTATTATCAAAAGCACCAGGCAACATATCGTGATATAGTGAATCTATAGAGACTAGTCTATGTTTATCATTTGTTGCTCCGCATGCATCTTTGATGGAGTTTGTTGTGAGGGCATCAGAAATAATATTTGTCTGATTGTTAGCAGATACTTTATTTATAGCTTCTTTGTTTGTGTTCTCCGTGTTACACATCGGTTGATCCTCTTGACTATTATTGCTTGGCAATTCATCATTGTTGACTGGTACAGTACTTTCTGTAAAAAACAATACGGTCACTGCATAAAGTGGATGCAAATTGGTATAAAAACTTTATTGCAAAAGAATAAAGTGACATTACATTATCAGTCTTGCAATCTATAAAACGACACACCGAAGGCCAAAAAACTACCAAGACCGAAACCTTAATTAATTTACTTCACACTTTGTATCTGTGTTGTTGTGATTGGAATCGAAAGCATAGTTCTCACCTAAACACGTTAAACTACGGTAGGGATGCACATAATTGTTGTACAGTTATGGAATCTTTAGTCCTACTTCTGGTTATTACACCACTTATCTTTCCATACATTGCGTTGCCCTCTGAATAGATATAGCCGAATGTACAATGAAGTGCTAGCATCCCTGTTATTTATTTCTGAAGCCAAACCTCTAAGCTTAGGATATTCAACGACTTTATATTTGGTCGCTGTTATCACCAAATGATCGCCCACATTTGGTGGTAACACTGTGTTGGTTATGTTGAGATCCAGTAGTATTCATATTCGTATTGACCACAGTAAAACATCAATTTTGGTGAATTGGCCGCTGCGCGTGTGGTTTTGGCGGCTTTCATCTAGTTTATCTGACGAACAGAAATGTTCATGGTATGACCTCGTGAGACCAAGAATCAGTGTGTCAGGTTAACAAGTCGGTACTCTAAAAGCACTTGACTCGATGTTTCATTCTACATGACCACTTGTAGTCAATACAATGCCTGATTAAATATAATTTTACTCAATCTGTTTGAACGTCAGTATTTAGTTTAAGTTTTTGTATTACAATGTTCATTGCAAAGCAAAAGCATTTATACGAGCATTAACCCATTTCTACATAAGTACCTCGTTTCTCATAAGAGGATTTAAAAACTAACGGGTGGCGGTACAGTCTCAGTAATGAGCTTGACTTATACTTTGTCTACAATCATGGAACTGGACACAATCCCACCCGACTGGTCTTAATTGATGATCATCCTAATTTGTGAGGAAGGAAGTAAATCTTCGTGTGACAATTGCAGAGAAGTCAACTCGAAGAATACGGTGTCCGAAATATTAGCTTAACCAGGGTATGTAAATAGCGAACTTCGGAAAACCATGCTGGTTTCAGACCTGGACGTGGATGTATAGACCAAATGTTCACTATTCATCAGGCTCTGGAACATAGACATACTTCCTGATGTCCGATTATAATTGTTATTCTTGACCTTAAGGCAATATTTGATTATTAATTGTGAGGTTCTGAAATGGTGTATTATTAAAAGGCCCACCAAAGAAGTACAATAATCGTGTATAGGCTCTCTACTCGAACACCACTGATCGTGGTGTCACTAGATTTTTCAACTTTAAGTTTTTCGCAGGACTGTTCACTTTCTTCATTTTTACTTACTTAGTCATAGACATTCTTTTACAGATAACTCTCTCGTCGTCTGAATTTTCAGGGGTTGATCCCCTAACCTGAGATTTGCTTGTTGACGTATAATATTTAGATGACTTAGTTCTATTTCGTAAAGATGCTGGAATAATACTTCTCTCTTTTCGCCTTAAGTAGCAATGCATGTTTTGGATGCGATTCTTTCTTTCCAAATGCAGAATGTCGCTTCAGGAGCGGCCTGCGTTAGCGTATGATGGGGAGTGAAGTGGTTGAACGTATAGACTGCTCCACTTATTTTGAGTCTCATTAGTCTTGATTTCTGACAAAGTCATGGAACGGATTCAGAAGGCTTGATTGGCTCATAACAATCTGTATCATATGTGATGTGTGCGAAATATCCGTCTCCCAATAAAAGAGTTTACTCCACAGCAGTTCACTCTGTTATACTTGGCGAGTGTGAAATAGTCATTAAGGATAGGAGATATTCGTAGGGTACTGATGTTCAACCATAGGTGTCCATGAATCACTAGTCATGTTTTGGGACCACCGACCAAGCAACTCCAAGTTGATGATAAAGTACTAGGTAAGGATGTAAAAATGATTGGTGAGATAGTAAATATGCAACAACTGAGGTGGTTGGGGCATGCGCGACACATGCCCCAACCACCTCAGTCTTTGAAGTCACCGACAAATTAACTGGGTTATGTTAATAGGTGTAGACAACCTGGTTGAAGCCCGCGTGATAATTGTAACCAACGGTTAGAGACTTCGGGTGAAATGCTCCAGAATCCTTCATAGTTACACATGTGCACCCACTTCTTGTCTACATGTAAAACCTGAGCAAAGAAATCTCCCTACAGCTTTTCTGTGTTTCTATACCCAACCCTTTCCTACTCCCCGGGATTCATCTTCAAATAATTCTATATCGCTGTGCTAATGTGGTAAGACAACTTGATCCGATACACATATGACTGAGAAAACTGATTTTGAAATTCAAGACCGTCACTGACCGAAGACTAAACCGCCTATGCAAGTTGTCTCCAATCTAACTGTGATTTTATAGGGACAAAGAGAAATAAAGTGATTGACTTATTAGAAGAATGGATCAAGAAATCCTTGATAATGAAAAAAACACAAACCCCATATATCTACTTCGTTTAATCTTCAAGTTATCTGGTCTTATCTAACTTTTCAAGCTGGACTTAACTCAATATTTGTCTTGCCAGGCCAGCCTATTCAGCATGAACACAGGCTGATTTAAGCACTATGAAATAAAATAGTACATTTAAAGCTTATTGTGGTTTACACTCGTATTTAATTGCTGATTGAGTGGACATATTTGTTCTTTGTCAACAATGCTCTTAGTGAGTAGAGCATGATATATTTTTAAGATTGCATTAAAATAACAAACTAAGGAATCCTATACTTAACAGGAACAAGTCTTATGACGTTCAAACCTAGTACTTGCATCTTGTATTTTACTTGTCAGTAAACCATAAATACAACAGACATTAGAATGCTCTTCGTTTTCAAATGACTGACTTGAAAAGTAGACGGATTTTTCGATAGTTCATACTTTTTATATTTGGGTATGTGAGTAAAGTCGCCGGGAGTCACACCTCATTCAAGAATGCCAAATTACCTATATAAGTTCCTGTAGTGTTTTCCAGAACCTGATATTTATTTTCAAGTACTTATCAAACATGTTGATACCACTTGTTTTGATGCAGTTATGGTTATCCACTACCAAGGAAATATAATCCCACTGAATATTCTAACAACTATAGCCTTACTAATATTTGAAAGCACCTACCAACTAAAAAACTACTTACGATAATGGACAGACACCTACCATGATCTACTTGTTCATCAGTCTCACTCTCGTCACGAGTTTGTTGCTGACATTGAAACTCTCCATTTAGATTCTAAAAATATTTCATGAAGATTTCCGCACGACTTACTGAACTTGTGTCTAGAAGCAATGAGCTAAGCAGTCCTTAAAGAAAATTTTACCTTCTTGTTTGATTCGGACAATGGCCTCTAGAGTTCTTAAGTGCTTTTTATGTGAGTAAATAAGGTCCACGACACGCTGCTGAAGCTCACAAGTCATTTTGAAAGCAGAGTTGAGATCAATAAATCGCATCTCACCAGCTAAAGTACTTGCGTCTTGTATCTGAAAATATATTATATGAAGGGTGGTGGATTTACTGTTGCCGCAAACAGTCTAAGCAACTCTCGTGAACCACTAGCCATAAGAAAATGTCAGACCCGCGCCATAAATTTGACTTAATAACCCCGCTTACACTGGCCTACAAGATATGTCTAATTGGCCAAAGGCAGTCCTAGTGTTAGGTAACTTCTTTCCGGATTTCTTTGCTCTCGATTCCTGTGGTTTAGGTATAGTTCCAGGAATCTGGTAGTGTTCAATGGTTGGTAGCCTAGAAATTCGACTATACTTATTTTGGTCAGTTAGGTAGTTTGCTGTGGATGTGCATGTCTTGCGATTTGAGTGAGTGCGTTTGTCTCAGGAAAAAATTTTTTGAATACGAGCAGCTATCAGATAGCCAGAAATTAGGTTCACTCGTTGTATGTAAAAATAACAAGATAAAAATTTCAGTGCTAATAGAAGACAAAGGTTTCATGAACAAATAATTGAGTTAATTCAGCTTCAGTTTGGAAAGGACAAGAGGCTTGATGGCCTGTGTTAGTCCTGGAAATGGTGGTTTCTCAGTTGATCCAGCTTTCTTTTGAAAAAATCGATAGATGGAGCCTCAATCACGTGCTGAGGTAATGAATTCCGCTCGTTGATGATTCGATGGGAAAGTCGACAGTCAACTGACAAGTAATTTGTCCTGGGCTTTT